AAAAAAAAAAAGGGATGCGGCGAGAAGGCATCCCTGAGATCTTCGTATCACTTCGTGTGGTCTCCCCTGCTAGACTACCACAATAAACATGACATATACTTAAATACATGAGTTACTGCTGTACTTCGGAGATAGAACAAAGTAAAATATCCTTTCAGGCCCAAAAATCAAATTTTTCTCTGAATGGTGCTTATGTCATTTCAATACCTAGTATTGAGCTCTTTGTGCAGAATATTCACCCATCATGGTGCAAATGAGTCAATGTTGATGCAACATTATCTGCATATCAACTATCCACCAAAACATCAACAAGCAAACTACTACTGCAGCTGATAACAAGCCACCCTTTATGGTTGATAAGACAGAAATGACAACAAGAAATTTTCCAGCACAGTTCATGGACTGTTTGATCAACATATCGAACAACAATCAAAGTGTAGCTTTGTTGAGCTAACGACTAATAGTCCAGCTTTCTAGCAGTCACTTGCTGCATGCGCTCAACCTTCGACTCAAAAGCAGGTTATGGATAGAGAACTTGATGAATACATCATAATCATTCTTGAGATGCTAGGTGGGCTCATAGCGTTTGGATTTGTTAAATTTTACTCCCCAGGAACTACAAGCCCTCTGCCAAAGAGTAAAAATAAATACTGGATACAGACTCCGCAGACTGCAAGGATGTTGGGGGGGTTCTGAAAATGCAAACAAGTAAAGCAGGAAACAAAAGGGACACAGGGACTCCACGGTGGTGCAAGCGCAATGGCCGTGCCATCACCTCAAGGGCACAAAACGTAAGTGAATGAAGAAACACCCAAATCTAGCGCTCCAACTTTAATCTGGTGGGGCAACGGAATTGAAAGAAATCAAACGGCTTCCAAATGTAATTGCACTTCAGGAAAGCTTCTTTAGGGAATGTTCCGATTTGCGCTGGGGCAGAGGAGCTCAGAAAATGATTCGCACGTATTGTGATAAAGGTTCTCAATAGTGATGCGGTTTTGGTCCCCGAATGCATCAGAAACACTCGCTGATCATTGAAGTATAATGAAAACATTGATGGATCCCTTGAGCCTGAGTCTATCGTAAACTTCTCATGATGGTGCGCTTCTCAGAAAGAGCTATTTAAGAATTACCACCGAGACAAAAGACCCTGCGCTTACAAAATTGGATCAAAATCCTCTCCAAATAAACAATAGGAAAATCTGGGCCATGAATGTGCCATATGTGGGTGGACTGTGGGTAGGGATGGGTATGTGAGACAGGCTGTTTGATGAGCAGTTGATTTAGAGAAACATATGGGCTAGCAGTCAGACAACCACACACAAGTAGGAAGAAAGGATGGTGACAGATGAAACTTGAGCTAGGTCAGGGACTGTTACGGCTCCTACAGGTGGTGTAGGACACAAATGGCGAAGTTGGGCGGGGCAACAAGCCTTGCTTGATGCAGTACAATAGCCACTCCACCCAAAAGCTTCAACATCCACCATTTCGGTCAGCTACCATGAGAACTGCTCAAATTGCCACTAAACCCCTGTATCCAACACGCATCATTCAAAATTGTGAACTTTTCGTCATGGTAGCGAATCGTGGATGGAAGGCGACAATAGGAAAATCGACTCAATCCTCTCACCCCGCCAATTTTGAGCTCGTTCGTTCTGGGTTCATGGGGATCTGCCAATTTTCATATTTGGATGTAGGTAGCTCACCTTAAAATTTCACAAGTATCGTCCCAATAAATTATATCCGAATCGCCCCACGAGATAACCGGTATGTGCGATCGAAGATATAGATGGTCAAAAGCGACGGCGTAATAGAAGAACTCGATTTGAAAAGTTTTGAAGACAACGTTTGCGCCTGCGAAAATTCGAGAGTGGAAGGGCTGAATTATTGCTGGAGAAATCTCGGGAATAAATTCAAAACTAGCAGAATAAGTTATTAGTCAATTGTTCAAGATTTGAAATTTATGATGAATGAGTGGGTTGATGAAGGGGTAATGACATCTCCTAAGCGTGAGAGAGAGCTTCGTTGGAATATTTTCGCAAGTTTGCAACCACCAAATTGTAGTACCAAGGCTCATTGCCAAGCTCAAACATTTGCGCCAGGCTTGAGAGCAGCAAAGCTACATCCGACAATGCCGCCACCAGAAATGGTATGCGACAATGATGTTATCAATTGCAACAAATAACTGACAAGGCCTGGCACAACGAAGGCTGAAGTTGTGGTAGGTGCAGTGAGGGGTCGAGATGGAGGGGGTTGAAGCTGTTATTGCGCGACCAGTAAGGGCGCAAGGACAGAAAAATGATCTACTTACATTTTAATCGACTGGGTTAAGAACTGCTTTTGAAAAAACTCGAATTCCGACGGGAAAGCAGTAAATCAGAGACGAGTACCTAGTTATCGAGAGGAAAACAATTGAGGCAATTAAGCAGCGCAGTAATCCAATAAAGTCGACAAAGGACGAAAGAATCGAGAGGGTTTGGAGGGTTGGATTGTGGATGAGGGGAGGTAATGTTTTTGAGTGGGTGGGTTGGTGGGTGAAAGAAGGGAAAGAATTATGGTGGGAGGGAAAAGGGAAATTTAGTAAAGTATGAGTAAGGAAGGTTGGTTGAGTGAGATAAGTGAGAAATTGAAAGAAGGAGACGAGGGGACGTGATCGTGATCGTGATCAGGTAAGGAATGAACGGAGTGTGCTCTTTTGGCGCATGAGTACTAAGTAGGGACCTAAGGGAAATAGTGCGGCCAGTGTGTGAAGAAGGAAAGTACCAAGTAGGCGTCAGAGAAAGGTAGGTAGGTAGGTACTCGCACTAGGGAGTAGGCACTTTTCTTTTTAGTGTGAATTTTTTGTGGTTTTGGGTATCTAGGTGTGGTTTGGTGTCCTTTTGGGGTTCGGGTTTGTTGAAAAGAGTTTACCAGATGTACCAGTAGATATCAATGCTTTAACGAAAGTAACTTTAACAAATCTGAGCCAAGAGTGAATAGGAATAATGCACCCCCCCAAGCAGATAGACTAACTAGGAACTGGGTACAAGTTGAGTGGGAAGAAGAGGAAAGAAACTGGATCCGGATTGGGATTTGGGTGATCTTTCTCGTTTACGCAGGCTAGATAAATTAATACTGTAGGTAATATGTAGGTAGGTATGTTTGATGAATACAGTACAGTACCTAGCATGTATCTCGAGAATTCTACTCTCTTCTTTTCTTTTTCTTTTCTTTTTCTTACTCCTCTTCTTCTTTATTGTTTTTGTTTATTCCTCCTTTCCTCCCTCCTTCTCGCCCTTTTTCGTCACAAACTACATACACATACATCTCTTCCTACATATCCAAAAGCATTCTCACCTATGTGACCAAATACAGCTTAAATTGAGAGAGTCTAGGTTTCCATGTAGGATCATTAGTGTGGATAAGATGCATCTGCAGGCTAATAAAAACGAGTGAGCTTCAAGCGAAAGTACTCCGTAATACATGCTGCGGTTTGGACAAAGATAAAAAGAGGTAACCTTTTTCGTAGGCCAGGCTCATTTCATTCAGGGTATGTGCTGCGCCTATATGTGCAAGTTCCAGGGTATCAATTAAGCTATAACCAGGTATGTGAGTAAAAATCGGGATTAATGGATCAATGGATGCAGACTGATATAGGAATTCAATGTTAGCAAAATGACAACATGATCATTATTATTATCGTGTTTCCCCATCTCGTTCATCCGATCTAGCAACTTGTAACTTGGAGATCCCTATGAAAAGATCTCGAAAGTTTACGCTATACCTCCTCTAAACCTTAGTGATCGACGAATCTCAAGAAACGGTTTGTGTAGGTGTGTGCACTGAATCATATCATTGATACAATCATAGCTCTAGCAAAAGATCTTCTCAACGGCCTGGATCTGTGAGCATTTAGAAAGTACTGGTCAAGTTTAGTGCATGGCGGCCAAATCCATTCCTTCGAATCACATAAATTATAATACACTTTCAAATCCTAGAAATAATGCCCGCTAAATTTGCTTATGAGATGAGCGGGGTTACCTCCGCTATTCTAAGTTCTAATCAATGTTTAGGTAATCTAAGTTACTCTGGGAGTCCGAAGGGGCGAAGCAGGTTCTGGTGGTCCCGTAAAGAGTATGTATGATGCTGATACATATACTCAGGCTCGGACATGAGGCTTTGCCGTCATAGAAATCAGAGGAAAGGTAGAGCATATGTTCCTTTTTGGGACTTTTCATCATGAAAGATAGATATATGGATACAGTTAGAATTACTAGGTACAGCAAGGGCTCGAGCTTTCTGGACTTTTGTGTGTGTTACTGTGCATGAGTAGCGAAATTCTCAAAGTGAACAAGTATTTTTAATACTGGATTACTAGCGCTCGCTTTGCCCTAGGCTATACAATGAGATCCTCCCTTCCTTTTTGAATATTGGTATAGTTGAGACCAGACGAGACAATTATACGGGCCATGCCATATTGAGCAAGCATTCTAGTATGTCAAGAATCTAAATGTAGAAAATTGAAAATATATAATCTGAATATCAATCGAGTTCAAAGCCTTGATCTGCTCTCCTAATGTCCATAAATCTATCCTTTACCTTGCCTTTTCCTGGTCTTCAGAATTTGCTTGAACATGGGGGTTAAATTGATAAAGAGGGCTGAAGAGAAAAAACTGCATTTGTGTGACGCAATTATTTAACTCAGTCCCAATATTTGTATCCATAAAACATTTGGTTGAGTCCAATCAATGAACGATTTAAGTTCCAGAGGTATATTCGAGTATCGATGTCGAAATTAATCATCATCATTGGTTAATAGCAACTCCCGTTCCCAATTCATGAGTAGCCAATAGCATTACAATTAGGAAAGAGGTTACGGTTAAGAGTTCGGATACAAAAAAAGTGTAACTTGATGTCGATATAGAGCAGATATCAACAATAAAAGTATGTACCGGTCGGTACCTGCTCTTGTCTCCTTTAAAGCCAAGTCAGATAGATACAAAGGGTCAAAAAAACATCTGCAGCTTCCTCGTTCAAGCAACTACCTGGGGTAAGGTTAATCGCTTTCAGCCCAATTTCACTAGGTATAGTTTCTTGTTCCTTACATGACTTCTCGGGCTCTAATGTACATCGACGGAAGAAGATGTCATTTCTATCATTTTCCCATTTCTTATGAAGTAAAAAGTAATCTTCATTTAATTTCGCAATGACCATGAATAGATGTTGTGTACCCTTCTTTTGGAGTTGAATTTGGACATGGGCGGATCTTATTATTCGACGAGCATATTCATTTACTTCGCATTGAGACATTGATTAATCTATACTATTCCCGAATTAAGGCAAAGTTGGAGCCACTCAGTGATCAGGTACATGATAAAAACACCTAGTGGTTGCCGATGCCAATACGGTAATGCCCCTTCATCCGATAATGACAATTTTCTCTCAAGTCGCTTCTTGCCGATTAGTTAAACTCTTCTTCGGTATTTAGCTGGATATAACTTCACATGAAAATTGTACCCAGCTATTCCTTTCCTCTAGTAATGTGAATCAATTATCACATCAATAAGTACAGCTGCATATTCATGTGCAAGTATTCCATATCCTGCATAAAATCCCAGTGCCGGCTCAAGTTCCTTACTTCTCTCTTCCAAGTCCCTTCTTCCTCCTCATTCGGCATCAGAATTTAAAAAAAAATCCTTCTGGACCCCTACCTGTGACAATCTGAAAAAATTATGTGATCTAATGACTAATAATTGCAATAACTTTTGCCGGTTCCTTTTGGCCTAATTCCACTTCAAGGAATAATAATAAATGTTACCAAGATTTTAAAGATTTAGTACCCCAAATACTATATACTCGATGTGACGCTGCTGCACGTAATATTCTTTCATTATCATTGGCTACTCTAAATCTTAAAAAAAAGGGAGGCAAGACATTGCACAGGTCAAGTAGAGATCAACATCATACCTACAACAGCGCAATTGTTGTGGAATATCCGATTAACCTCAATACGGAATACTTTCTGAGTCTTTCTCTCCCCAAATGCAATGTTCTTGTTACATTGCAGCTTTGAAATATCTGCTACTACATGCTACCACATACATTACCTAGGCACTGCGTATCTTTCCCATCTCAACTTTACTAGGTATTCTATCAATCCTCCGAGCATAAACCAGCAACGAAAGTGCCGCATCCTCGCATACTGACAGCTCACCGAGAGTCATACCAATTATTCTATATTTTAGAGGTAACAATACTTGTACCTCAAAGGAGCCATGCCCCAGTTCTTTTCCATCCCAGGATATACCAAAGCTACCAAAGTACACATGGCAACACGACACCGCCTCCTTTCTTCCCACCCGCCCAAAATTACGATCTTCTATTTGGGGTGATGTACTCTGCATATACATGAATTGGTACTGTACCAAACATGTCGGAGGATCCACCTTGCATAGAGTACGTACGACTGAAAGAGAACATCCCTTGCTTCAGCCCTTATACAAGGTATATTTTTTGCTCAAGATCACAATTTGAGCAAACAAACAATCATCCAATTGATATACACCAATTCGGATAAACGGACAGGGATACCTTCTTCCAGCATAGCATGACCATATGTTACACAAAAATAACGGTATGAAATGGTTACTTGCATATGGTATCATGGTTGATGGAACGGAGCAGTCTCAATATTGAATTCAACAGTTATCTATATACATTTTTGGACTGATTCAATCGGTAGTAGCCGGAGATAGAACTGTCGTTTTGGACCACAACATACTTCTCCAGTGTGAATCCGACCATTATTGTTCTATCGAGCTGTAATCAAGCATTCCATTGTATTTTACATTGGGCTGTAAAGATTCCAAACAACTGGGTAGTACCTTTCCTTTCCCCCTCTATATTCACATGAGATTCCATAACGAATCTTTCCTCGCGCTCCATGAGTATCGAGAAACCACAAAGTCAATTTGTCGATTAGGAGGGCGTACTCCTTTCAAGGGCTCAGATAGCTTCACATAATATCGGAAAATAAGACGGGAGTTACGATGCCACTTCGTTTGCTTCCCGTTTTCCATGGTTACTCGCGTTGGATTATCTATGTTCTTCTTCACATGCCAACCTTCACTCCATGAACCAAAGATTTCCGTTGCCGCTAATTACCGGCTATCAATTGAGGTATCTTGTGATGCCGATGCAATGTTACCGCATTGCCGCTTTCAATCTCTTCTCGCTGGTCTCAGGGTTTCCTGTCAAGTTTCTTCTGTTATGTGGTGTGGTTTTTTCACACGTACTTATGGCATCAAATACTTACAGCACACCCTCAACTATCTTACTCAGCTATGTGGCAATAGCACAGAATTCTTTTAGCTCAGAGGACTCACCAAGTGAGCAGCAAAATCGTCTATAGTTAGTAGTCGATCAGCTTATCCATCAAATACTGCTAGCTTTCCTACATACAAAATTCTCTACCACCAATTTATTCCCTTATTTCTGCTCTACGTCTCTGGATTTTCCTTCTAGCCATCTAACCGGTTTCGACACCGTCCTTCATTCTGCCCATTCCATACACTTGAGTAATACTCTCGATCCCTCACATTCCCCTCTTACTATCTTCAAACCATTACATTCATAATACCTCAGCTAGCCAGCTAGCCTCAGCACGTAATGGCTACTTTGAAGTATCTATACTCCATCAAAGGGTCCACAAATTCATTAAACGAAGGTTAGATATAACAAGATTCTCAACCTGAGCCATCATGTCCAATAGTTCGGATTAGAGTCCATTTAAGTTCATCAAAGTATAAGTCTTTGATCATATTCTAGTCATTATAATGAGGTCATTATTTAAATAGATTAAATATACAAAATAATAGATTTGATTTCAGTTGCCAAACTGTTACGACGGGCTACACAACTACCAGGACACGTGATCACAAATGATCAGTAGTGATTATTAAGGATCACTAAGGATCACGGTATAAGTGATCACTGGTGATCATGAAGGATCACTAGGGATCACGATATAGGTGATCACTGGTGATCATGAAGGATCACCAGTGATCATAGAAGCATGAAGGACTGTATAATCAAGATGGATTTCCTTTGTATAGAGCTTCGTGCTCAAGATCAATCATTTAGTATACTCTACTATTAGTTACGAATTGCATTATTGTCATTACTTTAAGTCCCTGCTTGACGCCTAGTTATAAACCACCTCGAGAGCCTAGAGCACTTCCACGTGATCTAGACGGCAAACCTCGTAACACAAACATCCTTCATCTTTAAAATACAATTAAATAATTTTATAAACTATTCAATACACTCTTGTAAGTCTTAAACTTCATACCTAAGACCTTTATAAAAATATCAAATAATAATTTAAATACTATATTTCTTTTTTAAAAAAAAGAAATAATTAATGATAATATATTTTATTTATAATATCAAAATTAAAAACTTGAAATTTAATTCTATAAAATACAATTTTTCTACAAAAACCTTTCATCTACTATTTATATATTAAACATCTATAAAGAAAGATTTATTGTCTTTATCTTAATATAAAGTTATATTAATTAACTCTTGTGCCCATCACATTAACAATTATATTATCTACCATAGCATCATACTATCAACACTATCTCAAGTGATAATCAAAATACATATAAATCCTAACACTTCCTCCCTGTACAGAGGTCAATTCTATAAATTGATATCTATCACATCACATCATAGATATTATCAAAAGTAAACCCAGATCTCATTTACATAAACATTCCCATCAACATCAACCTTATCCTCTGTAATTATTCCATTCATCTGTATTTGTAGAATACATACCAATATTTGCAGGAATCATACAGGATCGATCTTAAAGTTTTCATCTAATTTCATTTCGTTTCATCTGACGCTATTGATTGATTTATTCACTAAACGCTGGAGCCGCTACAAACTAGCAGCCCATGACTCGCTCAATATTCTGCTAACGAACAATTTAACCCCAATTCATCAAAACCTGCTTCTTCCCTTTATTTCCCTTTTTCTTTCCTCCCTGACCAGCATCTGCATTTTCTGCCTCTCCGTTGGCCCCCGAACTACTTTCAGCGCTTCCTGCTCCCCACGCAGTTGCAACAGGTTTACCTCCCATATCTCTCCTTACCATACCGGTGCCATAACCGAATATAGTACTTTGCGGTTTGGCAGCTGGTGGCAACGCTGGGAATGCACTCGAGTCAGCGCCCTTACCATTCCTCGTTTGCACACGTGAAGGAGCTCGACTAGAAGGTGCAGACGGAGGTGCTGAAGATGAGGAGGGTGCAGGAGTTGGTGCTACCCAAGGTGTGGTTGTTATACGGGAATCGGTTTGGTTGGGACGGGATGAGGGTAGAGTGGGGAAGGGATTGTTATACTGATTTGATGAAGATGGGGCTGGCGACGAGGTAGAGCTAGATGTTGAAGCAGAGCCCCATGACCGGTTTTGTGAGACGGTTGAACGTGATGATTGTGCAGTGGATTTTTTGAGTTTCAACACACGATTGGATCGTGGGCCAGATGAAGAATTGGAATTCGCGGATGCCCAACCTAGAGGTATAACATTACCGTTACTGGAAGTAGGAGCTGGTAGAGATGGATAATCTTCGTTGATAGCACGCCAATCATTCCAAGCAGTTAGTAAGGCAGTTTTCTTATTCTCATCTTCAAAAAGGCTGGCAACTTCACGAATAAGTGTGCCAAGGGCAGCAGGAGTAGTGTCCGAAAACAGAGCAAAGAATGCATCGATGAGGGCATTGGCAGTTATCCCAACATTTTTGTATGAAGATATGGAGTTGCGAAACTGATTCAACTTGGTTTGATCGTTCTGTAACAGTCGGCTTGCTCTTTCAACAACTTCGCGGTGTCGAAGCTGCCTAGCTCGTTCCTGAGGGGTCAATTCTGGTGCAGCTATGTTCATCCCATCAACTGCTTCAGAAAGACCCTCAGCATTGGCTACAGGTCGAGCGGAGCCAGCTCGTGAAGGTTCTGCGGGACTGGCTCTGGCATTGGCTTGGGCAGGGGTAGGTGCCGTCAATTGACCACCGAAAGCTCTTGATGACCCAGCCTGAGCACCTTGCACTGCCATTTGCCGTTGGAAAGCTTGCTCATCACGACGTAAAGGTTGTGCACTAGATGGTGCCAAGGGTTCAGCATTCGGGTCTCTGCCCCTGCCTCTACCGCGGCCATCTCGTTGCTCTCGTTGACTTCCTCCGCGGCTGCGTTCTTGTACATATGGTTGACGATATTCAAAAGTAGAGATATCAACCGTTCTCGCATCCCTACGAACGTCTTTAGATAAGGTACTTCCATGGACATCCAATTGATGTGCTTTTAGATCTATCTCCGTTGCAAAAAAGATGAACTTTTGCTCCAAACATTCCGGCTCATTGCAAGGGAAATGATCCTTTCGTAGATGTTGGGATAGGGAGTTATAATCAACATAATAATGCGGTTGGCCGTTATTACTCAGTTGATCACAGACATGACATCTTTCATGTTTCTCTCGGCAGTGGAGAAATAGCTCGTCATCGCCATAAAAGCGTTGACCACAAAAAGAGCATAGAGGATGACCCTTGAATCCCGTTTGATCGAGTGCTCCAGGATTGTCATCTCCTTTTCTCATATGCTTTTCCAGTTCTTTATCAGCAAATAATTCGTGTTCGTGGGTGAATACTTTTTTGTGCCTCGTACATAGATCACACATTTTCTTCTGATGTATGGATCTAACATGACGATGCAAATCTGGCCAACCTCTGCATGCAGTATCGCAAGTAGAATCGGGACAGTTATACCGCAGAAGCAGTAGAGTATCCTCTTGTATATCATTACTCTCATATCGAATACCAATATTGGGGTCTGTATTTGAGATATCTTCGTCCGAGAAGTCTTCATAATTTTTAGTCGCATTGTCTGTGAATATAACAAACGGCGAGGGTGTCTTGACGATATTAGTCTAGTTTGGCGGATTTGACAGAGCGAGACTTACTCTACAATGTACACAATCTTTGGTCTTGTACAAAGCTCTCATTCGCAAAGCACATATATGACATGTGCGATGATTACATGGAGCGACAGCATTATGTTCGACGTCTGAGGCGCAAATAAAGCACACCTCTGCTTCAACCGGCTCACCATCTACATCCTTGGTTTCTCCATCTATTTTTGGCAACTTCTTCTGCGCGGAGGACTTCGCAGTGAGGTCTGTAGAGTTCATGGTATTGGTATTCGTATTAGGAGTTTCATGGCTAGCGGTATTTCCCCTATTTCCACCACGACCCTCTCGTCTTCCTCCACGATTTTCCGACTGTCTAGAATCGCCACCAACCTCTCCCGAAGCTCCGCCTCGACCGCGACCTCTCCCTCTCCCTCTTGAGCCTCGCTGCCCATCATTGCGGGGTCGCGAAGAGGTATCGGCCGTAGAAGTAGTTTCGGCTGTAGAAGCCATTGCTAATCGAGAGTGAGATTTGTAGTGTTTTGTGGTGTGCAGTTTTGAAGTAGGAACTGTGGCTGTGGAACGCTTTTTATTATAATAATATGAAGTAGCGTTTCCCTATGAATGAAAGTCCACTGATATAAGTAAATGAGACGTCTTAATTTACTGAAAATAAGCTATTGATTTGTTTCTAGAAGCTACAGATACCAAGACAAATTATTATGCTAGGAAGGTGTGGGGTCTTAATCGCTTAGCCCCGCAAGGCAAGGCTGCCGTGTGACTAGACCAAGGCTGATAAATCAAGAGTCACAACGAAGTATCAACATGCAGCATGAAGTAACTAAGGTGCAAAGCCACGATGAGATACATACTAGAGTATTTGCCATTGATAAGATGATCCATACCTCAAGGACCTATGCAAATGCTGTCCCAAAATGAATCAAAATGATTTTAATCCTGCGGTCCCCTGATGTTGGAATCAAACCATACCGTGCCTTACCTAGGTAGTACCCAACAATCCAATGCAATGCTTGCCAGAAACGCCTGATTGATCCAATAGAAAATTTCCGTATCATCACCTCGTTACCAATGATTGGAGTATCCTATACTATTCCTCTTCAACTGGGTACAACTGTTTACCAAGAAGCTTATTCATGGTAAACATGTGAACTTTCCCTGTATTAAAAACCAATTGCATTTTATCATCGCATATAATTTGTCGTTTATCGCTGGGGTCTTGAAGGTCGTGGGCTTTAATATGTTCCCAAATCTTCTTGACGACTTGGGGCCGTGATAACTGGTTAGATATGTTAATATGAGAGGACGCTCAGGTAGGCGGTGATACGTACTGTTGGCTCCCCTACTAGATCTGCTAAAGCCGCGGAAAGATTATATTGTTTCTGCTCAAATTAGTCCTCTGTAATGATTTGGGAATATGTTCGGGCGCCATACATGAAACCCGCCCTTCTTGATGACCTCTTTGGGCTCCCCATCTGAGCCTAATTCCATATCACTATCATCCGTCGCCTTAACCTTTGCGGAGGACTTCTTTTTCTTCGGTGTACTCTTGCTTTTCTTGACACCTGCGCTTCGTTTGGTTCCAGCCCCTCTGGTTGATCTTGTTCTGCTGTTTTCCTGTGCCTGTAGTAGAGCTGCTAGCTTCGCGTCATCATCCTGCTTTTGTCTCTTCTTCTTTGGCTTTTCATCTTCATCATAGCCATCAACTTCCCGCTTCGGTGTGGGAGTATGCGATCCTTCATCTTTGATGTAGTCGCCATTAACGTGTCCATTGGTTGCAGGTGGAGAACTCTGAGTGTGTTTCGAGACTTCATCAAACCGTTCCAGGATTAAAGCTTTCACAGCATCCTTGAAGGAAAACAGTTAGCATCGAAAATACGAAACCATAGAACTAGTACTACCTTTTGGTGGGAGATGTCGAACCCCAATTCTGCTTGAAGATCTTTACGAATCTGTTTGGCTGAGATAGTGCTGAGATCACCCTCTTTGAGAATTCTATCAATGATTATGGAATATTGTGAATTTTCTTCCGAAGATACTTTCAATTAAAGTTAGTGGTATATCATGTAGAATATATTAGTGTATGGGCTTACAAGACATCGCGTTGTTGGTTAGAAAAGTCTTGTACCGATATCAGATTCTAGGAGTTGTGCTACCTGCGAGGGAGGGGAGAGGGGATAGAAGAAAGGACTTTGGGGTAGGTAGGTAAGGAAAGCAACAAAATACAAATGGCATCAAGTGAATAAGTGAATCCCGAGCCAAAGAGAGCAAATGGTTGGGAAACTTTCTTTACCAACAGTAGGTAGGTAAAGATAGAAAGAATTTTTTTATCTGCCAGTACGCCAAGTTTGATGTTGGAATATTATTGTTATTGTTGTCGCATTAACAAAATGAACCACAAGACACTAAAAGAATGAATAAAGAAATTCCATCCAAAAAAATAAGAATAAAGTGATGGTAGGATGGTTCGAATTGTGTTTTGTTATGTGATCAAAATGAGTACTAGAATTTATGGGCATAGATAGATATAAAGTATGAATAGAATGTATGAAGTTTTGTTTCCAAAATGTGGTTTTGATGGAAAGATGTGCCCAGGTGATGATTGATGCGACGAGAATGCAAGGATTAGTAGTCTAAGCCCAAAGCCTAGCCTTTTAAGCCTTTGTTGTTAGCTCCGGGATGTTCTAGTCTCTAGATAACCTCATCGATCTGCGCTTATAGTTTATGAAGATTGAGACGCTTGCTTTCTGTATATATGCCTTCAATTCTTTGTTCTTCAATTTGACCATATTTATTGAGCAGGAAACATGGGGTAAATAGTACTAATAGACCTTTAGCTAAACAACGATATCTGCTCTGAGATCATTCGCACTATACATGATTCATTCGATTAATTATAGATGAGTAAACATCCATATGTATATACTAAGATGGCCTCTATTAATCATTATCATCCGTCTACTGGTGAGTCAATATATGTATCTAGATTCACTCCATTATCAATCAAGTGAATATATTTTTATTAAGATGGTGTGAACTATATACAAGCAGTTCTACTATAGCTGTCTGCATTGCCTAAAAGCTCAAAGCTGAAGTGAAATCAGGATTACCAAATAGCTGTCAATCCCATTATATCTACTCATGTAACAATACCTAGGTACCTAGGTAATTTAATATTCAAGTATCAACCAGGGTTATGTATCTCCGCCGAGGTTATTTTAACTACCTAGAATTGTATTCACTGTCCATGCTGAAGTATCATTCAATGAAGGAGTAGATAAATAGATTCAATTCTAACGAGTATTTATTGATCTTTGCTATTACCTTTCACAAACCACCACCCAAGTTCTATGCTTTAGGACAAACCCCAGTTTTCCTTTTGGTATTGATCACGATCCGTTATCCAAAAAGAGAGGGTATCCTAAGCCATTTTATAGCCATTTGCGCCATGTGTAATGAAACAACCACACCAAAACCATGACCAGCTTAAAGCCCAGCCGGTCCATAATATTCCTTGAAACGATCCACCTGATCCCATTCCACCTCATACACAACATTCCAACAAACGATTAGCAGGTTAGGGAATTTCCTAGTCCAAAAGCTGAGATAACCATCAGGTAAAGGACCCACATCTTTCTTCAACTTGTCCGGCATGTCCTCATAGTGATTCTTCTTGTTCCGCAAAGCTCTTAGGAGGTCCAAAAGTCGAGTGCCGGTATACTTCCTCTGTTTGCCCATTGAATCCACGAACTCTTTCCCAAGCGGCTTAAGAAAGTCACCGTGACAGACGTCACCAGCCCACCTCTCAAGTTCTAGAAGGGCAGGACTGGGAGGATCCCGCTTTTCTTTTTCAAAGTGGTCAGAGACATCACAAAGGAAGTTCAGCCGCTTTTTGGCTGACCAGAAAAAGGGATGCGCCATAACTTGTGCTGCTACTGGACGAGATTTCGGCTCTTTACAAAGCATGGAACTGATTAGGTCTTTAGCCTCAAAGGCATAATCTCCAAGGATTTCCAAAAGACCCAGATTGAAATTATCTTTGCGAATATTTACCTCTCGCATATATCGATCACCACAATCGAAAGGATGGCTACCTTTAGTTAAAACGTAGAAGAAGACCAATCCAAGAGAAAATATGTCGATAGCACGTGTGGCTCTGCGATTGGGTAGCATATCCGAGCTGACGAGGATCGAGCCCGATCCGCCACCGTCTGTACTTGTATCGACCATAGAGCCTTGTTTTATATCATCATCAAGGAGAAGTTCTGGTGCTCGCCAGCCAGATGTACCGGCTGCATGAGCAGTAGTAGCCCTGAAAGACGACTGCTCGACTTCTAATTTCTTGCATAGCCCAAAGTCCGAAACGAGTAGTCTGGGTTTACCGTTTTTACCCATCGCAACTAAAATATTCTGCGGCTTTAGATCACGATGGACGATACGGAGGTTGTGGAGATGCTGGATGCCGTTGGCAATTTGGTAGAGTACGTTGGGCAGATCCTTTTCACCACCTTGGGCTAAGTCTCTGTGTAAATGTGGCTTCTCTATGACATCGGCTAACGATGCCGGACACAACTCCAGGGCGATGTAAAGAAATCCAGCAGCGCTCTGTTGTGCAAAGTATCGAATAACTAATATATTGTTAAAGTGTGATAGAAACTGGGCCATTGTGTGCCTTACCATTTGGATGATCATCACTCTCTCGTAATAGTTTAGTCTCTTGGGACGCGATGTCATAGAATTGAATGAGCATTCTTTTAACAGCAACAGCACGGCCATCGAACTTTCCTTCGAAGACCATGGTACCGTTGCTACCCATCCCAACTAGTTTATTTTGGTCCACCTCCAATGCCCCGATACGAATTTTGGAACCAGAAACTTCTGCAGGATCATTAGACACAGTTTGAATATCTGGCTCAAGTGTTTTGGGTGGAAACATGTTTTGCGCGTTGTGCACAGCATCCTCAATAGTTGGAGGTGGTTTCTGCGAGGACGTATTCTGGGAAGTTTCTTGATCACTTCCGGTGTGACTTGTACTTTTGCCTGCTTTTCTGTGTTTGACTCCACCACGTTGTCCCCGCTTTCTTGGTTTTTTCTTTGCTGGCGAAGCAACATCACCGACATCTTGCGCAACGTCCGAAAATGAGCCGGCGTCATTCACAGCTGCACCTTCGAGCGGTACAGCTGCAGCAGTGACTACAGGAGCGTCAGGGGGAGATCCGGAATCCTTAACATCAGGAGGAAGGGCGCCAAGAGCTTTATCTTCCGGAATTTCTGGTAAACGGGGCGTCTCATGATTGATAATATTTGTGGAATCTTCATTTGAGTTGTGGATTGCTGACATGTCCTTGGTTGTAGATCGATCTTTGTGTGAAACAAAAATCTTTTTATTGTGAAATCCATGGCGGCCAATCCAAGCTCGTATTTGCCTTTGGTTTGAGATAAGTAGTATCATCAAAAAAAGGATAAGGACAGGATTTTTGATGAATTCGACAACACTGTCAATCGCTAACTTTGGAATTTGCTGGAAGCTTTGTAACAGAGTTGGCCCAGCGAGGATTTCTGGGGCGAGGTCTGTGACGGTCAGTTTGCTTTGATTTACATCCTCGAATAAGGGAGCAGATATGGTCCGAAGAGGTTCCGTCTGCATATCAAGGAAATGAACACCGGTCAGCGCCTCCGCCAGTTCGGGCTGATCCATTCTTTGCCAATAATCCTTGCGTTCCCACAATCCGCGTTGGTAGATTTGGGCTTCATCACCTGCTACGGCTAGCGGATATGATTTTCCAGACATAGCATAGAGGCTTCCATCTTTAGAAAGGTTGATGGCAACTCGGTTTCGATTCTGATCCAATCCTGGCACTTCATTCTCAGCTCTCAGTTCGGGCTTAGGTTGTGGAAGCATCATCAACTTCAAATTCTTCTCCTCAATGCCCCAGGGTCGGAAAATATCAAAAACTCTGACGACAGCTGAAGGAAGCTTCTGTTGGAACAATAGTTCGTGTTCCCTGTTCCGTTCACGATCGAACCCCATTACGCGGCCATCTTGACCAGCTAGAATATATTTGCTATCGAGGGTTTGGTGATATTTGTCTCCGTATTTTTTGGCATCTTGAACGTTAGGACCCCATTCGTTGTACATTAATGTAGCAATTGGATGGTGATCCTTGCCTACGATGTTTACTTCGTACTTTGACAATCCCAGCCAGATCGTAGGGTTTTGGCATTCGTCGGCTTCTCTACCCACAAATCCATTTTTCGGGCTACAGCTTTGATCCTTTGTATCGACGATGTAATCTCCTCCAAAGACCTGCAAGATTTTTCCATTGGTGGCATCAACCTGCACCATCTGGGTCTTCCTCGAACCGGTGTATACGACCTCGGGGTCGTCACTTTGGTAAGGTGACATATCATCAACTAATTTCTTCATTGTTAGGCCTGTGTCGACCAAGCCGCCGTTCGGAACATCCGGCCGATATATCCATAAACCACCATGTTCAGTGGGTTCCACAATCCAGACGTAATCGTCAATACCCCATTTCGACGTGGGAACGTCGCTGAAATCGGCTGATTTGTTTTTTTTGTGGTGTTTGGTTGAAATCATCGAGACTTCAGGTAATTCTATGATCATCCATCAGCATTCGTGACTCATTTTATGGCACGGAGGCAAGCATGCAATAAGATGACTTCGTTCGGACTACTCACCCATCCGCCATTTCTGTTTACCCGTTTTCCTATCGCGTGCCCACACACTTCCGTCAACGGTCGCCAGTAGCACAAAATCTTCTACTTCCCATTCTTGGAGATCCCGCGCACTCGGCTGCGAAGAACCCCATCCGGTTGACTGGAGGCTGCTAGACTCGAGTCTATTGGACTGTGCAAGATGTGAAGGAGCTAATGGTGCTGAATCGGCGCTCGCATCGACTTTTTCGTGAATTCCTGCGTTTACGCTTAAAGTATTCTTTCTTCGTGGGATGTTCAAAGGAGTCTCGATGGTTTTTACCTTGGTTACTTCGAGAGGAGTTCGCATTCCCTCAGAAGTGGTTGCTTCGAGTGGGGATTCATGTTGCCTTAGAGCTGATCGCTGCTGCTGCTGAGCTTCGACTAACCATGGTAAAACACATAAGAATGCTGCGAAGATGAATATACTATTCACGGCTTCGCCACAGGCCTGGGGCCTGACCATGATTGAAGGTCAACGTGTACTTCTTAATACTTCGCACGGAGCGAAGTATGTTGAGGGAGGACTTAATTTTTAAAGGCTGGTGATGAAAGGAGGTATCGTATGACGTCCAAGTCGAAAAGAAAGTTGGAACAAAGATAAATTTTGGCTGTTGAATTGAACTAATTATATTAATTGTATTGACTCGGAATGAGTTCGAGTCTGACAGTAGAATGATAACAGATTCAAATTCCCGCACTGCCTTTGGTGAAACGAAAGGAGGGAGGAGGGATGAAATACTTGGAGGGATGGGATGGGGATAAATTCAAAATGTTGTTGGTAATAGCGTGTGCGCGGTGGTTTGAATTAAAAAATGGCGCTAACAAACGATCCAATCCACCACAGTACCTAGTATATGGAACCCCGAGCTTTTACTGAGCACGGAGGATTACGTTGGCTAGTAAATTATCGATAGGTAGGTAGGTAGGTATACGGAGTACGAGATTGAAATGTGGAGTGGGAATGGAGTGCGGGATGAAAAGGAAGGAACTAGAAGCATGATCTTGTTGAAAACTATTTTTGAAGGTAAAATCTTAGACAGATAACCAAGGAAAGTTGGTGCTGTAAGACTTTGAAAAGAGGGAAAGTAAATAAGGGGTAAATTGTGTCTTTTATCTCTTCTCCTACCTTCAGCTTACATCACAGGACTATCTATGTATATGGATTCAAAATATCTATTAGCTCACGCGTTCCGTTCCGCTAAAATTTTCTTTCTCCTTGCTTCTAGAGAGTATAGCTACCTAGGTAAGATCTTACTTGTACTTTATGATCATCATTCACACACACCTTGCACTGTATCGATATTTGCTTACGAGGCTTGAAACAAGGCGTTTATTGTTGCAGTTCAGATCTTGTATAAGAGTTCATCGAACGTATGAATATTCTACAAAGTATGTAATCGAGTATGAGATAAACCTCTTTTACACACATGAAGGCGGCAGGTTGATTGAAGGTATTTATCACGGTCAGTACCACTGATGGAAGTGATACACAATTGCGTTTATGAAGTACTTAGTATATATAGTTTTACCTAGATGAATTAGATAGCAAATACTGAAACATTGTAATTGATAGATTTCATTCTCATTTCAAAGTCTTAATTATCTTAAACTTCCTTTTCGTTATCACGAACACGCCTACTGCAATACATTCTCTGACAAGACTCATTGACTTGGCTCTCATACATTCGAAACGGCTGCAATCTCTTCATAAGCCTCTGTTCCAAAAAATGTGTCGTCACGGAAAGTATCTGAAAAGACCATTACCAACGGCAAAAGAGTGGTTGGGTACAGACACGAGAAAAGATTGAACATACCAAGGGTTCCAATGCATGGAGTTTTAAATAAAAACACTCTCTTTTCGTCGCCCAATAGAGATGATCTTGAACGGAGATCACAATAAACAGCAAAACAAACGGGATCTACCACTTAAAAAAAATTCACTGGAGAAATTATTTTTCGGACTTTCCCACAATGATTATCAATGAATAGAAACAAAATCTACTCGCGAGTACATACATATAAACCATACCTATGTACCTTGTAGTCTGTAACTTTGCAATTATCTGCATCTCAAGGCGGAGCCGTTTCAGCACCTATTTTGTGCATCGAATGGCGCCGACAAGGCAGGGCGGATTAGCATACCTACTCACACAGCCGGTATAGTCAAATGTTGGTTCTTGTTTCCACGAGCTGATCCACACGGTTCGCTTCTGGAGGTATATCGCAATGGCTGGAGATCCCAAAATTGCACTCCACATAAGACCATGAGCATTTAGAGGTTGTTCATCCATTCATTATTGTTGCTGCAATATGTCTATGGTATAGTTGGTACAAAATCCCCTTGACCATTTTTGCCTCTTCATAATACAGTCGTATTTTTTTTGTTTCATTATGCTCATCTTTCTCTTCTCCTTGGAGCGCTGCGAATGATATTGTCCACTCTGAGGAGGAGCTATTCAATGTTAGTATTGTAAGCATATGTTGGATTGATAATACTGACCTCTGCTGCCTCAGATGCAGATGAAACTACCGCCTTTTTCAACTTGTAACTTTCGATAACTCCTAATTCCCGCATGTCTGCGATTCCACCTCCTGGTGTCAAAAGATCGAGACCGTATGTGGACATGCCATCATAAATGGCTGTTCTGAGTCTAGCAACTAAATCACTTGAATCATAACCGGCATTGTCGGCTAGGATGGTAGGTAATTGACGCAATGCTACTGCAAAAGAGCCGACAGCGATTTGTTTCTTGCCATCTACCTTGACTGCGGCGCCTTCAACAGCCTTAGCCATCAACATCTCGGCACAGCCACCACCAAGGGTAGTTCTAGGCTCCTTCACAGTTTGTGAAAGAACTGCAAGAGCATCATGAAGAGATCTCTCTGCTTCGTCGAGTAATTGCTCGGTAGCTCCTCTTAGTACGATAGTGCAAGCTTGACCAGCAGCAACACCAGAGAATTTGATGAGAGTATCTTCGCCAATAATCACTTCCTCAATCAGGTCACAATGGCCAAGCTTGACTTGATCTGGGTGGTCAAACGTCGATGTGATCTCGCCACCAGTAACCAGAGCCAGTCTTTCAATACCATCGAAATCGGCATGTTCAATGGACATAATGCCGGCATCTGAAAAGAGTTGTTCCGGCCAGTTGTAGATGAGTTGTCTGTTGATGAAGCAGTTGATCCCATGTGCCTTGATCTTATCCACCTTTGCCTTCATTTTGTCTTTCTCGGCCTTCTCCAATTCAGCCAACTTTCCAGTCGAGCCAACCTTTACTCGCGCACCGAAAATCTTGATCTTATCTGTGTCCATAGCAGTATTTGCAACAAGAATTTTAGCCTTTTCTAATCGTTTAGGTTGATTAACTCCAATTTTCTTGTCCAAAATAAAACCTTCATCGAGATATGAATCGCTCAACTTTCCACCAGCCTTTTTGATGATTTGGATGTGACTTAGATCCGAAGAACCCTTCATACGTAAAACTGCGTCGACAGCCAACTCAGCAAATTGAATTCGATCTTGCGAGAGTACCTTGGAGCTTAAAGTTGTGCGTGCGATTGCTAACAGATCTTTTCTGAAAGCTTCCGCATTGCTGCTATGGTCCACCGCCGACTTCTCTAATGCTGAAAGGGCCGCCTGGCTTGCTATTCTATAACCTTCGATAATGGTCTGCGGATGTATCTTCCTGTCAACCAGCTTTTCAGCCTCTCGCAAAAGCTCTGCGGCTAACACAGTAACAGATGTAGTTCCATCTCCAACCTCGTCGTCCTGAACTTTGGAGATATTGACAAGAACTTTAGCGGCTGCATTGTCTAAAGCTATAGCCTTGAGAATGGTAGCACCATCGTTTGTGACTAAAATTTCGCCGGTACTTGCGCTCTGAAGAATCTTATCCATACCCTTTGGTCCTAAAGTTGATTTGACTACACAAAAGTTTAGCAGGCTGTATTTTGAAGCTTCATGGAGGGGTTCATGTTACCTAAGTCTCCAACTGCAATAGCACCAACAAAAGCAGAGAGACGAGCATTCTCTCCCTTCTCCTCAGTCGTACCATCTTCAAAGATTTGTGTTGGATTAAAGGAAGCCATCTTGCCTTGTATGAAGATTTGCTACGAATTTTTTGGTGAAACACCTCGTCGTCGCGTAAAGTTTCTCAAAAGGCGCGTCGAAATAGTAATCGCTAATGTGGCTCTAAAATTATTCGTTAGTGGCTCGCACACGAAAATTAAAGTTGGGGAAAATCGATTTTTTGGCAGCCTTGTACATTATTTGAAGAACCTGAACCTGAACCCACCACTCACATTCTTTTCAGGGAATTTTGTCCTTTTATTTGTGAATTAATTGTACGCAGAAGTTCAGAACTTTGGTTACAATAATTTAACACCGAAAATATCTAGATCACATCGAATAGTTAAATTCGAAATAGACTACACAGAAGTGGGCTAGTGGGGTCAAAATTTCCAAACGAATTCACACAAAAACTCACCACCAACAATAATCGAACTTACAAAAGCACGCGCAAACGCTGTTGGTTGATCGCATAATATCGTAATCATGGCGCCGAGTTTTGACCATCTCCCAGATCCCGAGGAGGACGAGTATGATGAGGAGGAGCTCGATATTTCCGATCTAAGAGAACGTTTCGAGGTTCAACTTGAACAAGGACTCGACACTTTTGTTGTTATTGATGGCCTTCCAGAAGTTAACGAGGATACCAAGCCAAAGCTGATTAAGTTCTTGTTGAGAAAATTGGACTCTGTTGGTCAAACAAAAAAGGACTCAATACATATGCCCATCGGTCCAGATGGCAAATCGTTCAAGTAAGCTTCAGACGTTCTTTGCCCCGCTTCTATTTGTATATTGATAGGAATAGATTTGCTTTCGTCGAATACTCGTCCCCTGCTGAGGCTATCGCTGCATGCAAAGCCCTCGACGGCGTACCCCTCGACAAAAAACACACTCTCCGAGTCAACAAATTGACAGATATTGATCGCTATGGTCGTGAAGGACGTATCGACGAAAACTACACCCCTCCAAAAATTGAAGAGTTCACCGAGAAGGAGCATTTGAGATCATGGCTCGCGGATCCAGCTGGACGTGGACGTGATCAATTCGTCATGTATAAGGATGATCGAGTACAAGTTTTCTGGAACAACGAGAAGGATGCACCAGAGAGCATCGTCGATCGCCAACACTGGACCGAGTCGTTCGTACAATGGTCACCACAAGGTACTTTCTTGACTTCGATGCATCAGCAAGGTGTACAACTTTGGGGTGGGCCATCTTGGACTAGACAAAAGCGTTTCGCGCATCCATTCGTCAACCTCGTCGACTTTTCGCCAGGAGAGAAATACCTCACAACATGGTCAAATCGACCAATTAGCATTGGCGAGGAAGGCCACCCAGCTCTATCGGTTGATGATGATGGGAAGAACTATGTTATTTGGGATATCGAGACAGGCTTGCCGTTGCGTTCATTCGCTAACCTCGATTTACCAAGCAATAGCGTTGATGCAGAAGGTAACCCTGTGAAGAGAAAGATTCAATGGCCAGCTTTCAAGTGGTCATCAGATGACAAATATGTTGCTCGTTTGACTCAAGGCTCATCGATCTCCGTCTATGAATTACCCAGAATGAACCTCTTGGACAAAACCTCTATCAAAATCGATGGGGTGATGGACTTCGACTGGGCACCAGCCACCCCTCACCGTGAGGGTGTCAAGAACTATGAGCAGCTGTTCTGCTATTGGACCCCTGAAATTGGCAGCAACCCAGCGAAGGTTGGATTAATGAGCATTCCGTCTAAAGAAGTAGTCCGAACTTTGAACCTTTTCAGCGTGACAGATGCAAAGCTTCACTGGCAATCAGATGCCTCATATTTGTGTGTGAAGGTTGATAGACATTCAAAGTCAAAGAAGTCTCTGGCAACCAGTTTGGAGATCTTCCGTGTAAAAGAAAAGGGGGTACCCGTTGAGGTTGTCGATTCAATCAAAGACACTGTCATCAACTTCGCCTGGGAGCCAAAGGGTGACCGTTTCGTTATCATCACAACCGCAGAAGTCGTTGCAGCCACAGCCGTTCCACCTAAGACATCCGTTTCCTTCTTTTGTCCAGAAAAGGTCAAGGGCAATGGCGTTGGTAACTTCAAGCACATCCGCACATATGACAAAAAGAACAGCAATGCCATCTACTGGTCTCCAAAGGGTAGATTTGTCATTGTGGCTACAGTTCACTCTCAACAAAGTTTCGACATGGAGTTTTATGATATGGACTTTGAGGGCGAGAAACCCGAAAGTGACAAGGATCTGACAGCCAATTTACAACTCATGAACACCGCCGATCATTATGGTGTAACAGATATCGATTGGGATCCCACAGGACGGTTCGTTGCTACAAGTGCCAGTATTTGGAAGCACACCGTAAGTACAGTCTATATTGTTATTTTTTCAGCATGCTAACTATCAAACAGATGGAGAACGGTTACCACTTGTACGACTTTAAGGGTGAGCAGCTTCGAGAAGAACCAGTCGAGAAGTTCAAGCAATGGTTATGGCGCCCTCGACCACCTACTCTACTCAGTAAAGAAGAACAAAAGCAAATCCGCAAGAATCTCCGTGAATACAGCAAAGTATTCGACCAAGAAGATGCCGATCGTGGCGCATCCGCCGATCTTGCCGTTGTCGAACACAGACGCAGACTCTTGGACGAGTGGCTTGCATGGAGGGCTAATATCGAAGAGGATGTTCAGGCCGAGAGAGAAGATGCAGGCCTTCCTCGTGATCCTCTGGAGCCTCTCAAATCTAAAATGGCAAGTGGTGATGAAGGACAAGCCATCGAGATTGAGGAGATTGTTGAAGAGATTGTCGAGGAGACTGAGGAGATTATATCATAAGAAATCTAGTTCTCCCAATAGTCTAAATATTTCTTTTTTTCTGTCCTTTACGATTTTGTAGGGGTTGGAGTTGCTAAAAGCTATGGCATTGATTTCGAGGCTGATGGATTCTTTTCTATCTATTCTGAGGTAATGGCATATGCATAGATCTTAGTAAAAATCTCGAGAAGTGAATGGTTTGTTAAAAAATATATTGTCGTACCACCTCAAGTCCTCGTGCTCGTTCATCTCGATATTGTGCTTCTTGTTGGCTACCTAGTAAACTTGACTATGCATAAATAATACATAATCGTTCCTGTTCAGCATATTGCCTCAATCCATTGCATATATCCCATACCCCAAGACCCATTTCACTCGAAAACAGATATTCATAATCCAATCTCCATCTACTATCTCCCAACTCCCGTCTATTCCCATCTGACCCAGCATCCCCAGATCAACGTAACTTTGAATAGTTACCTAATGTGAATATCTCATATCAATCAATAAGTCAATCTCTCTCTCGCCTTATGTATATATACCTATGTTTACTAATACACATACTACCTACCTACCTACCTACACAGATAACATAATACTTCCAAAACAATCGAATGAATGAGTGAGTGAGTAAATGGGTGAATGAGACTTATAGATGGAAATGGAAAAGGCTGGTGGGAAGATGATGGACTTCCGAGGTCACAGATGATTTATTGTAATTAAGACTTGGGATCATAATTACTGCTTCCTTCTGGCTATGTGTGTTTTTGCTATGGAGATATATAGATATATATGGGTAGTTATGGGTTGTGGGTGAAAGGTGAATGGGTTGTTTTTTGATGGTTTAAGGATATAATAATACTAGGTATGTATATAATCATTACAGAGGTATACTAGGGATATTTAACTTGTCCTTGTCTTTTTCTTTGACAGGATCTAATAAATTGTCTGGACTGGTAATTAAACGTGAATGCAAAGTTTTCAGTCTTCGAAGATGTTTATATATACGAATCGTCTAAATGTTTGAAATTTTTCTGAATATTCCAAAAGATTCTAATAATTAGATCGATTGAGAAATCTAAAAGTATTTCATCAAGACTCTGCAGTTCGGACTATTGCAAACTAGAAACCCGCAACATCATATAAATCATCAGTCATTCTTTCATCACAATATCCATCCATCCATCTACCAACCAGCCTTTAACCACTTCTTAACAGTCCTAATCTCCCACAGATGTGCCTGCTGAATGAATTGTGGCTCAGCTGAGATATTTAGGATACCATAGGAATCCCAATGATGACCTGCGCCTGATATGAGGAATTCTGGGTGGAGATCTGAATAGATACGGGGACTAGGGGCATATTGGGAATGGTAGGTGAGGTCGAGCCATACGTCGTTATCTAAAATTTATGTCAGATTTTGGTAAAGGCTGAATGAGGATGAGTAGGAAAGATGGCTAGAGGTGCCATGCCCTTAACAACTACTTACCTCCGTCGATAAAAGCTAGGCGATTGGCAGAGAAATTGTATTCGCCGTACTGGTTCCACAAGGTGACATTGACGGTTGGTGGAATGGAGTTATATTCTCCTGGTGGGAATGCCCAGTTGCACCATTGTTGGCTTGTGCTAGTTTAGTATATTGCATATGCTAGGATGGGATCATGCCTTACGTGTAGCCTGCCTGGAGCACTCTAGATATCAATGACGGCCCTGTCTCAGGAGCTACTTGCCATGCACCAAGCTCAAGGCATGCTTAGGAAAGTAGTTAGTATATGATGAATGAGTGAATGAGTTTGTAAAGGATACTTACTGGTATATAGATACGAACGGCCTGCTCCATTTGTTACGTCGGCATAGTATGTCTCATTTTGGGTGCCAAAGCACGATGTGCTGTCGATAGGAGCGCCATCACAGATTGGGATCAGGACATTTTTGACGTAAGTAGCATAATTTCCTAGGTTTGTCCATGGCTCTCCTCCGGTGTAGTTTGAAAGGGAGTAATCGATCTCTGTAACTGCCTTGGGCGCATCAATGTTGGTGACATTCGAGCAAAAGTTCCAGAAATCATTTGAAGTATACAGCGGACTCCAATTAAGTTCCTGCCATGTGTTCGTCGGGTAATCCATTGGCCCCCCAACTGCTTTGCATTAGCGACAATACATTCTAGCAATATCTGGGCTTATCTTACGAGGAAAAGCAATAGTCATTGCAAAGTCTCTGTTATCAGTCAAAGCCTCAAGCCCGAACAGAGATTTGAATTGCTTGATCGCTTGTGTGTTATTTGCGGATATTAGGGCATCAAATTTGTCAATAATGCCGTTAATGCTTGAAATGCAGTCTTGGGGACCTAATCTTTGAATTGGATTGTACCTGGGCACAGCATTAGCACTTCAAGCCACTGATACAAAATTAGATGATATTAGCTGACCATTCTGGATATCCCACCACAGCTTTGATAGGAGCACTGGAAGCAATACCACCGAAGAATACTTCCGGATAAATCCTAAAATATGGCATTAGTTCTGTTACGCTACGTCCATATTCATAATCTAAGCTGTCGAAAGCCTGTCCCATGCGGGATTTGAAATCCTCACAAGTGATGACAAAATGATGAGATGCTTACTTTACTGATAACGCAGTCTGACCACCAGCCAAAGAGCCTCCATAAAGTATCCATTTGGTGTTTGGTGCAGTAATACTAGCATTGACACCAGGCAAGGATACATGTTGAGCAAAGTATGCATTATCCGCAACGGCTAAAGCAAATATCGTTAGTTGTCAATTTGGCCATAGGTAATTCATGTGATACGGACTCTGTTGATTGGTCAAGTATGCCAACTGATCTGTTGTGCTGGTGTTGAATGGGAAGCTCTCGCCATAGTACCTGTTTTCGAGGATAATTCCAAGACCATTAGTAGCTTCCATTAATATTTGAATGACTGAGAGGTAATTAGCAAAACTGCCTAATGGCTGACAGCTGACAACATACTCCCAGTCTGAAGGTTGCTGAATCTGTACTGGCCATTGGTTTCTCCTCCAATGTATAGATAAATGGGACCTCCAGGTTTGTAGTAGGTCGCATCAAACCAATATCTTTGTTTGAATGTAGCATTGGTGTGTGGAGCATACATTGGATCATTTGGGAAATGATCAATCTACATGTTAAAATCAGAATTTGTGAATAGAGAAGAGCAAAACCTGCAACGTACCGGCTGATCTATGGTGTGAGCCTTGTAAGCCAGAGCCTCCCTCCTAGAGATTGATATCGCCGATTCTTTGACAGTACCGACTTTTGTCAGTATAGAAGCACATGTTGAACCAATCAACCCAGTGACTACACTGGCCAGGAGTATATTACACCTCATTTTCGAAGACGTAGAGAGAAAACGAGAGAAAAAAGATTGAGATGAAATGGACATGGGAATATTTCTCGATCACGCAAAATATACGATATTCCACGGTCCGCAGAACTGTATAGTGCCTTGCATACCACCATACTTAAACAGGAAGCTGCAATCTAGTGAAGATTTGTTTTCTCCACGTATTTCTTCATGGCCCCAATCTCATATATGAAAAGGTCGATCTGATCGTAGAGGAATAGAACGCCAAGCCATTAAAGGAAGCTTCTTTCTCGAAGTACGGAGTATGATATAATCCGGAAGAGATCCATGAATAGCCGTTGGGAGAAGCACGTATATGCAGTCATTGTACAAGTGCCGCTTTTCGCCGGCATAGAAGATAAGCAGGGGAACGATGTTTGGTACCAACTCGCCATAATGATGAATGGCTTTTCTTTTCTCATTGAGAAGGATTGCATACTTTTTCCTCGTAGAATAATGGTGTGACTCAATACCCTTCGAGACGATCAAATGAGGGCATTATCTGAGATGCCACGGACCTTGCGTCATTTTTTAGCAGAAGTTCGTTTTAAGGTTATTATTCCCTTGCCACGAGAGATGCCCCTCATCCATGGTTTTTCTTCGGTCTCAGTTTCCAGCCAGCTCAACAATGTTTCTCTTTCTCTCAATACCTAGAGAACCAAAGAAAGATGTGTTGAGAGTTTGAAGGAGTAGATGCTCAAGAAGTGATTAATGTGTGCTCTCGGATTAGACCATCATTTATGAACTACATTTTCCATCGACACAGTTCTTATCACTGAACGTTTTGGTCTACAATATCAGGGCTGGCCATTCGTATACGTACTGAACTCGGGTTCACTAGGTTCCTGACGTCTAGGGTAACTGCTTTTAAAATAAATACACCAGGACATTGGATTATATAACTACCTATCCAATGATAGTCGTCTGAAGTTGAGATGATTCCAATGATAATGAATTTTTGGATGTATAAAAGAATACATAAATGTGATTACATAATGGATTAATCATGTACCATTCTTCTACACGATTTGTATCTTCTCAGAATATATCCTCAAAAACTATTTATATACTTATTTGATACCCCGAAGCAATTCATAGGGTAACGAACCAGAATGGTGCAACCCTGGTTTACCCCGGGTTTGCCTTGTCATTTGCCTGGGTGTACTTACCCATTCAAGGCCGATTTTCCTGGGTTTGAGTCTTTGTGAGTCATTACGAGATAGAGATACTGATGTGATAAAGAATTGAATATATACCTACCTCGTAGTCACGCTTCGTTTGGTTTCCTTATTGTTCAAGATTACACTTTGCTTTTTGGCATGTTGATAGCCATGATGGTTTTCTGGTTACAAGTTCTCAGTGCTGCAGTCATTGGACTGTACGCGGTATGGAAGATACAGTCAAAGTATTGGATATCTCGACGAAAAGAAGCGGTACGATACCTTTGGATTCGAGATTTCTTCCCCTTTTCCCTTTTCGCTTTTTTCGAAAACTTTCCTGACATTGGGTCAATGTTCTCTGAGCAATCAAAGTTGTGCTTTCTTGACGTTCCTCCTTTTCATCACTTGTTTCATCAGAATATATTTCCAAATGTACCAACACGGAACGTAGTCAAGCGACTTCAGCACTCCTCTATACTGTGTACGCAAGTTAACCCATGGTCAATCGATATCAGAAGTCCCATTTCAACAATGAAAAGGCCTCAGATAGCATCGATTCTCAAACAATCGTTCCCTTAACAGATTTTGACTGGCGTACCACCGAGCCACTCAAAATTCGGCCTTTCAAGCCAATATACCACATGACAATGGGTATGAAAAGACTCCTACCCAGGGACTCCTCCTGTCCAGTCGTTTTCAGTGACTTCTACTTACAAAACAAAGGTCTTCAATCATGCTCTCCATCCGAATTCATAGAAATGGACCGAACATACCTTGATCGCCTCACGGTCCGCACCAACACAATAAGAGACCACACTCATACGGTCCTCCAAGCCCTCCCCTCATCCCACGCTGCAATCCAAGAACTCTACACCTACCTAACCACCGTCTATCTTCCCACTCGCTTCCCCACCATCTACTCTCTTACCCCAACATCACTTTTGAATAAAGCAACAAATCATCACATCCCGCTTCATCCCTCCTCCCTCCTCCAAGCTCTTCATGAACTGGGTACAAACATCGACACCGATTTTCTCCTCCTCGTTCCTTCTCCAGATGGCGATGGATATATGCTAGGTGGGTTCATTGCATGTTTCCCCAGCGGATTTGATACCCAAGCTCTACTCGGTAAGAAAATAAGGGATATCCATAAACCCGTCCCAAGATACAAGGAGAAGTTAGAGATGAGTATGTATCGGACTTTTGATCGATTGGAGGTAGGGAAGATAGTGAAGCGAGTCAATGTAAGTTTCCTAGCGATGTTCGAGAAGGGAAGGCTGAAGATTAATAAGTTAATGGCGTAGTGGTCAATAACTACTCATTCGCGCTTATTTGTACCGAGTGGCAATCATCTGTATGAAGGCGAAGAGGCAAAACCAGAAGATTTTGATATTAATGATGTAAGCACCCTCTGCTTCTCACTTGTACGTTGACTGCACCAAATCTAACAACGCAGACGCATCTCCGCTGTGAACGTCAGCTAGTACATCGTCTCCCACAAACTAAAGCCTTGGTATTCTCTTTCAAAACCTACCTGACGCCACTTGCTCAAGTGAAAGAAGAAGGGCTGGGAAAGGAATTGGCAGAGGCAATTGATGGATTGAGGAAGGGGAGTGTACCGGAGATACATTACTATAAGAGGGGTGTAGTATGGGGCGAGAAAGTCAAGGAATATTTGAGAAGTTAAGAGAGCTGGAATGGACGGGATACAATAGATTGGAATGGACCAATAGATTTGGCTTTATAATGAATGAAAGACTGCCATCGACGACGGTGCTAAAACTACTCGAGCCAGAAGTCTAAGAAGGCCAGACAGCAACTTATACTTCATCCCCTGTATTCTCCTCTACCTCCAACACAGAATATCCAACCGACAGCTCATTTGACCCAAGAACCGGATCCCTCTCCACCCACAACCGCATAACCCTAACAAACCCCGCCTCATGTAAAAAAGAAGAATATCCCTCATCAGCAAGATTTATAACTTCCACACCGACGCAACTAAACACCATCAATAGAACCCTTAAGCCCTTAACCCCTACGCCCAGAACACCAAACTCAAGTACATACGCGCATCGCTTGAGCGAGCAGTAAGGCCACCTCTCCCACCTATAGTAATTATGTTCAATCCCATTGATTGATCTCCCGCGTCTTCTCCTGTATATATATTCCTATCAAGATATACTTTCTGATCCTCCCGCGTCGAAGTTCGTTGCTCGCCTAGGAACTTTTCCATTAATCTTTCTTCTGAGTTGAGGGCAGCACCTGCTTCATTTAGAAGGAATGTTCTTTCCTCTTCTAGTGTCTGCTTTTCGGACGTAGTTGTAGTGAGTGAGTGCATCCTGCTAAATACACTCATGAATCGTTGGACAGGATTCAGTCAATAGATCAGGCTTCGCGGTTGGATGTGGCAGGCTTGGTACCACGTCTGCGGATGACAAGAACCTTGACCTTGAAACTTCACCAATGCATGGCGGGTTATGGCTGGCGAAGACGGGTTCTGGTGTAAGAGGTGTTTTGCAGAGAGCGGACACGAAACTTTTGGTATTATAGGAAAGGTTTTTGGATGGGAGGGAAGGGAGGATTACATAAAGCTTATAACACTTTTTGCAAGGAAATGCCATGGTGGGACAGGACAAATCAAGAATGAATGTAATTTATTTTTATTTTCGCCTTTGCTATTCAAGTCGAAGGCATTTGTGAATACCTGCAACGGCTTCATGAATGAGTGAAGTTGGAATCCAGCTCTGAGAAAGAGATGTCCAACTTCAAAATAGAGGCTTCAACCCCTCTTCATTAAATTCAAAGCTGTAGATTGCTTTCCGTTATATTTAGAAGCTGAAAGTAAATCAAAGTGACAACACCCATTGTCGTCCATACCAAGACAGCCAATGTGACCTTTGGAAAGACAGCCTCTATGTCACTGCAGTTATCTATCATGTGTATCCTTAAGCTTCAAACCTTTGATGTTGCTTATCAAAGAAAGCTAATGTAGTTTAGAAGAATGTAGCCTCAGCTGATTCCCAACCTTTCAGAAAAGTCTAAACGACACCTCAAGGTCAGGCGCCCAGCAACGGGTTATAAGTATTCTTCGCACAGCGCGAAAACATCTCGTTTTATTGAAGAAATCGAGTGCCGTTAAGTAATGTTTTGAAAGCTGGCGTGTTGTGTAGAGAAGAGAAGCGCAAAAAGGAAAATAAAGAAATCCATGTCTGTTCATTTGAACATATCTACCGTGTAGCCGCAACATCCTACCTATCCTCAACACCCAAGCACCTTTGTAATATATATTTATTGTTTCGTACTGTCGGAACTGAAGGGAAGTAATCTTGGATCGTATTGTGGTAGGAAGCTTGCACATACATTTCGCGTCAGATCGCAAGAAAGTGTGAGATGATAGCACCGTCTCAGGATGATCTGGACTCTAAGGTAAAGCTTAGAATATGTTTTCTTTTTTCGAGATCGAAGGGAAATGGTTGTTATGCTACAAAAACTTTGCAGAAGAAAAAATCTTTATCAATTCATAGCTCTTCACTAGCGTCTGCGGTAACCGAGGAGCTATGACCATACAAAAGGAATCCCCAATCATGTTCCATAGTACCGGTATCGGGACGGAGTATGTACTTTATATTCATGAAAGACGATTGACGATTGACATTGGATCCCCTCAGCAGAACTTGAAGTTGCCAAGGATACCGAGAAATTTCTCTTTCATTCAATTGCGGGGCGTACCTGACTGAAAACCTAGTATGTATTATTGCATGCTTCCATAAGTTCACCACTGTAACATCCGGTTACATGCTTCCACTCCACAGCACCATGTACAGCGGTACCGTATCAAAACGTTATGCAGCTCGGCGGCTGGCACGACCCTTCTCCTTGATCTTGCAGCTTCACGGCTTGCCATACTTCTATGCCATATGCCAGCAAAATTTTAAAGTACAGAAAGGTATGAGGCAATAGTCTGCGGAGCAATAAAACCCTTTCTGGAAACCACCCAAGGCTCTCCAATTGAAAAGGAAGAATGGCGCCATATAGCCCCGTGAGCCTCGTGCATTTCCATTACGTTTTGATTCCTGTACCCAGGCCAAAACCTTCAAATTTGGCTCAATATTTTTCTTCTTTGAGTATCACCAACTCCTTCGGCTAGTTCTGAATGGAAATCAGGGAATCCAGACCGCTGTTGTTGCATTGAGCAATTGTAGATATCCTACTCATTTCATCCTCATTGAATAATACAATCTCAATGATTGGGTAGGCGTCCAAAATTCAAGGGATCAAGGGCACTTGGAACGAATTGCCCAGTTAGTAGGATGTCCCTCCTAGTCCGGGCAACGCGGCGTTAAATACATAGTGCCACATGATATGAAGATTGAGGAGAATTTGATTGTAGTGAATTAATTGGAGGATTGAGGCTAAGACTGTATTGAAAAAGTCCTTTCATTTTCCTTTCTTCTTGCCCTTCTCGTCATGTTCGCTCAATAGTGGATCAAGCATATAAATATCACTTTCCCCGCAATATCAGAGTCAGCCCTCTGCTCGGTTTGAAAGCTCTTATTCCAATTTCACTATCAAAACTGTTGCGCATTATCACGCAATAAGGTGTAATTCACTAGTTCGCTATTGGAATTCGGTCAAACTTGAACAAAGAACCTCTGAGAGAACGGCCTTTCACTTGGAAAACTGCGCAAAACACCTTTCCTTTTCTAAATCCGGACCAAAAAAACCCAAATCTTCGGCCAAAGCTTTCCATTCAGCTTTGGAAGCATTGCTAACCATTAAAAATGGCAGCTTTACCCCAATATCTTGCCGATGAAGAGCTTCGTCGCGCTTCTTCTTCCTCCATTCGATCAGCTAGCCTTTCCCACGGTCGTGGAGGCGCTGGTAAGCTTTTAATATCTGTTCTGATTTATTTCCTGATTGACATATTTACTCAGGTAACATTGGAACCTCTCCTCACGATGCGGAACCTGTTACTCTCAACACTCCTACCCTCAAAGGTGATGTCTACACCACCGGTCGCGGAGGAAGTGGGAATATGACAAAGAACACCGATCCTGAGTCGGCCAGACGGGTAAGTTTTCAGGAACTACTAGCAAGTTGTATTTAATGCTGACAAAAAAGCAGGCGCAAGACGTCGTTGGGTAGGTCGAATCATGAGACGCAAGTCACTTCCGGCAGTACTGAATTCTAAATTAAATGTTCTAGCACCCCGAGAAGAGAATCTTCATCTTCAAGTCATGTTGGACGGGGCGGGGCAGCTAATGTCTTCAAACCAAGCGAGGCCGAGATCGCCGCAGCGCGCAAAGATGCTAGATGGGATAGTGCAATCTCAGATGAGGATGAGCCTTATTACATCAAGGCCGACAACAGGCCCGCAGGCGAGAAAGGTCTCGCGGACAAGGGAAAGGCATGGTTGAAGGAAAGGATGGGCAAGGTTTAAACAAATTCGATAAACTCCAAGGCGTTAAAAGGGACTATACCAGGCGTGGCTGGATTCGCTTCAGTTTGAAGGATATGGAGGTACTTCCCATCGACTGTTAGTATTGGGTTTTCGAGCATGGCATTATGTGTATGCGGCAGAGCTCTTCGGCGTTACTTTTTTGGCACTTGGCTTCCGTGCCAAATCGTTACGGTTCTTGATATAGATGCAATAAACATTTAGGCATTTATAACCAATGAAGTCATTGATGCTGGTAATCGATTGACATACTCCTGGCTCTCGGAAGATTTAACCACGTTGAAGGTATGATTGGGGCATCAAATGTTCTATGATGTTGGTGGCTCTTTTTAACCCAATGCAAAAAGCACATTCTCACGGTATTGCATGCAAACACGACCTGTTTCACTATCGAACTTGGTGGATCTAGAACGCTTGTGTTTATAATAGGCAATCAGGATGAGGGGTCGGACAGAGTACATGTTAGATAATCTTGTCTGTATGGCGTCTCGTATTCTTAGATAGTGAAAATACGTACAATTAGTCGCGCGGCACAGGTAAGTCAAAGCACGCCTGATGTGTATCACCGTAGTTATAACATCTTAATCGATGATGGATTTGACATGATCGATAAATCTCCCAAAACATCGTTGACGTGCCTATGGGGCGAAGAATCACGAATACTAGTCTTCAGCCATGAATTGCTACCTGGTCATACGATCTAGGTAGATCGCATCCCAAACCCAATGCCATCTACTCAACATAATCTCAAACTTTACATAATATTCTAACATCTAAATTGAGATCCGACGATCAAGAAGTTATTTAGGCCCAAAAGCTTCATTCCGATTTTCTATAGCTCGATGTAGACTTGACAATCAAATGATCGTGTTGTGTTTCGATGTACAGTTTACTTCGTACGCGTCCCGTGCTAAGTACAGCAGGAAGACTATGAACGGTAATGCGGTGACAGGATCGTCCGGAGCTTTTAATCTTCATCAAGCCAGAAACTCACGATCCGCAATTTTATATTCCTTCCTAGTATGTACATACATACCTCCTTCCTGAAAAGTATGAACATTGGGGATTGGTACATGTGAAAGCTGCTTAGTTGCAAATATTGGATACCTAGTAAGCACGATGCAACGCTCAGGTTTTTACCCCGGCACCCTTTCCTCGGGTACGTACCGAGGCCTCGGGGGTGGCGAGCTCATGATATGTACTCCGTACTGTACACATTACATGATCGATGCATGCATGCATACATCAATAAGTGCACCGTAGAGAAAGAGCAAGCATGTGCTGCAAATTAGTTCCTACCTAGATTCCCAGATTAGGTAGGAAGGGGGAAATAAGATGGTGGCATGCAGCTTATGAAACTGTGATACCGGATCGTGGCAAGGAGATACGTGAAAGTACATGATGCACATGGGAGAATAAGACCACTTTTTGGGTGGAGGTCGAGGGTCTCGGGGTAACACGGCAGCCGTTTGGAGATGAGGGGAAATACCATCTGGAAATAAAGTTGTTGGGTTGTACCGGGGTGGATGTTGGTTTGGAGGGGAGGTATGTGTTTTTATTGGATGCTGTGAATATGGGGTGTTGTTAGGACGTATAGCTATGGTATGTGATCTTTCTTAACTGTATTTAATGTTGAATTGAATTATACTTCAACTTGTTTGAGTGTGAATTGGGAAGATTCATGAGCTACGGAGTAGACGGAGGAATGAGAATCTAAATAAAAATCTCTTAGCGATGTCACGACTCACTAGACACCTCAACCCCTGAATTATAATTTTCGAATTTCTACAGCATATCCGCAGAACTACCTAATAGTCTAAAATCAACGGATGTATATCCGTATGATCAACTTTTGCCGCGTTTATCCTTACAGCTATGAAAACGAAGACCCTAATCACATTGGTCACGTCACATATTTCTCAATCTATCATGTCAACAAAAGCGATAAACCCCACACTTACTTACTCAGTTACGAACCACACTTGGGCCAGCTCTAGGCTCTGCTTTACCCTGGCCGCCCAAATGTACGGAGGTATCGATAGGTACTGACTTCCCAGCTTCCGTCCCATATCCTTGACCTTGTCTTTACTCAAGCAAAAATGAGAACTAGTCAAGAAAGACTAAAGCCTCCAGGTTCCTGATCCTTGGTTGGCCGAAAAGCATTACCCGGCTGCCCGCAAGAGACACCCCTCACAAATTGTACCCGTATATTTATCTTATCTTACCCAGCTGGGTAAGATTTGGGACCCTAGGGACAAATTCATTCGACCTCATGAATTTCCAACAAATGCAAGAAACATTCCGTCGGTATGGCCGCTTAAGTGCTTAGTAGAGCTCTAAAATAGTACGGAGTATAGCTAAAGTCTTGTTATGGGTTGACTTTGCACAATTATCTAGTTCTACCTGTGTGGAATTTCTCCTCTAATCATCAAGTCAGGAGGACGCAACTTATTAGCATTTCAGCCAGACAGGGTGAGAGGCAACTTGTCTGGGCATCCATTTATCTAGGATCACATTGGACCCTAAGTCAGACATAAACATTAACCTTGTCGTACTACACAAAGGTTTTTATTACTTAAACCCTGATCCTGATGCTTGCATTTCCGGTACTTTACCAAACCAACGGTAAACATCTTCCTGGCATTGGCGTATTTCGTTATCCATACCAATCGGACTGTCCTATTCCTGTTAGCATATCATCATCCTTGTTAACTGACGGTGATACGGTTGAGCATGGGTGGAGTTGTACTCTGTATGCCGAGCTTTACCAATTTTTCATCCCATCAATAATTTCGGATTACCTAGAATCCAGATGATCTTCGTAAAAGAACGCGATCTGGATTCGGAAAAAGACAGAAGACATGGAGCAGCTGCTTCTTTACCGTGGACCAGAAAGTATGTATCTTTTGCTCGTTTGAAGCCCTAACACAATTATGACGCCGAGATACATATCGCCTTTCTCTAGAGATCAAAAGTCACATGGAAGTGAGCAGGACCAACTATTGCAAGGTTATCTATCTCTCACACCTATTGCTCAAAAGAGCAATCACAGGACACTGTAGCAGTGATACGAAGGCTTTTTGAGGAATGATCTGTAAATGATCTCTTTTCAGCTATTAGCATCCATGAAGAAGCCACCCAGACATACCCATCCAGACATTAATGCCTACATGAAAATGGCGTAATGTAGCATGTGTACAACCATAAACTCCTACCTCTTCACTGCTGTAGCAGCACACCTTTCTAGACGGCCCAGCTCCTCCCAGATTTCCCAAACTGTCAAACGCTCGTGCATATCCCGGCGTTGTACAATTCCCACGCACTTTTCTTCCTGCTCATTAAACCATTACCGACGACCAATTGAGTAGATCTCTAAATGGCTTCCAACTTGTAGGAATTCATGCTTAAAGATGCCAAGTATGCATGCACGCCGCACAGACAAGCGACAGGCCAGAAAAATATACTTTACCAGATGAATTTCCATGGGATTTTTTGATTAAAAAATTTCTGACGGCTGCACTGCAACGCAATTTCATGATCAAACCCAGCAATTTGGGCTTTGGTGCCCTTTTGGGTTTCCATCGCAGTTCCCCTTTTTAAAATTTTGGAGTTTTGGAATGGGAGGTAACATGATGAGATATTATGATGATACAGAGAAATAGCTAGTAATAATGATGATTAGTCCACATGGTAATTTTCGTATTGAAACTACGGAGTATTTCGACCATCATCCCTAGCTCTGATGTTCTCGCCAAACCTGCCTATTGTGTCGAAATTGCTTGAACATTCACTAGGCTCCCTACTAGGCACTCCGCAAAATACATTAACAATAATATCTCTTCATCACTACTTTTTCCCTTTTCATGTGATTAACATCCAGAAGTACGGAGTATAAATACCAACCTATATTTCTGAGGGTACCTACATATCAATGCCTCTTGAAGCCACGGAGCTGACTACTATGTATAGTTAAGCCTTATGGGATAACCCGACGGAAACCAAAGAAGATAAACTCCACAAGTCTCCTAACCAGCAACCTAGGTTCCGGGAGATCGCCAATTTACAATAAACTAAATGCGAATGAATATATTAAGTATAAAAAAAGCTTGGATAGGGCATTCCAAATGCGGTTGTGTACTTCCAAGCTTTTCCTGCCCGCTGTCAAGTTTGTCCACCAAATTGAGCATTAGCTCAAGATTAGCTACCAAAGCACTCTATCGGACCTAAATCACCCCTTCATCTGCCGAAAGCTCCTCAAGAATTCGAGACACAGCAAATTATTTTATTACTTTGTATATCTAATGTAATACATCATTGCATTCGACAACTTTTTATATATATTTCACTAAAGGGGATAAAGGAGGTCAAGAGGCAAACGAGAGAAAGACATAATAAGAGGTAGATTATACAGAACATCTTCGAGTTCACGCAACATTCGTCTTCGACACCATAAGATGAACTAAGTAGATTCTAATTAGTATCTATTTTTATTCTTAATACAACACTCGGTACCAAGGACTCCTTTCCCCTCTTGAAGAAATTCTATTGTATCCCACCCACCTCGTCCAACCTTGTCCGCCTCTCCCATCGTCTCCCAATCCCACACTCCCTACGAGTTCCCAGTTCCCACATATATGAATTAGCGTACGACGCTGCACTGAACTAAAAGTATCCTATCGCGGTTCCGCGCTTTTAAGATTATCCTTTTACAACTGGGATCAACTTCAAGGTTATTCCTTTTAAACAAAACCATCAGACGGACTTTTCGCTACCGAATTCTTTGGAGCTACATCTCTCATCATCATCTTATACATATTTGAGCTGTTTACCTCATTCATTATTCATATATCCATATATCCATACCCATTTATACTTTTGCATACTTGCACTATCGTCTATTCAACGACTGTCAGGTTTCAGCATCCCTAAAATCTCTAGAAAAGAAGGAATACTTTAAAGGCTGGGCTGTCATTAGCTGTCTAAAATAAAATTATATTAATCATGAATACTACAGCATATGCTTCACCACCTCGCGATATGCATCCTCGATCAACCATGCCAAGTCTTCACGATACAGCATATCGACCAGGTCCACCTCAGCAAGGAGCTCCATACTCGATGCCTCACACAATGGCATCTCAACATTCACAAATTCCCGCCTACGAACAATATAATAATTCTCTACCTGCCACTCGTCCTCCTCCTCCAGAACATTTACCATCTTCAGAGGCCGTAGCGGCATATTCTATTGGACTCCCAGGTCAGGAACCATCGCCTCGGTCTATTACTGTAGATGGGAGAAAGTATACGTATGTTTTAGTTTCGTGTAGAGTTTCCCCCTCACCAGGTACTGGGATGGCATACTAAACTTTCTTTTTTCTGTCGGGGTAGAACGTTGCTAATTGCCTTTTTAGATTGGAAGTCCAGCAACAACCAAAGCGGGCTCGAATGTGTGGGTTTGGAGACAAGGTAAGAACAGAAGAAAATTCATGGGGATATATCCTTCTCATGTGGTCTCATGTCTGATTATAACTGACCCTATGTAGGATCGTCGGCCTATTACTCCTCCTCCATGTGTTAAACTCAGTATAACAGAAATTGCCACTGGAAAAGAGGTGGACGTCAAGTGAGTTATATATCACAAATCCGTATATATCCATTCTAAATTCTTCATAGCAACATCGAACATGGAATGTTTGTGCTGAACGTGGACTTATGGTCAGCGGATGGCGATCGACCAGTCAACCTTGTTCGACATTCACAAACTTCTCCTTCGATTTCAGCCACAGTTCCAGTTTCTTATACACAGCTACAAGGGGGTTCAACTGCGTACTCGAACCTACTTCCCGGACAAAGTCAACGAGAACCCACCAGCCCACAATATGGCAATGCGCCACCTTATCAGGGAGCTGGATTTAATCCATTTCCAGGGCCACCACAGGTGAGCGCATACTCACAACAGCAACCTGGACAACAAGCAGGTTACGGTGGAAATCCCAACTATCCACCTCCAAATGGATACCAAGTACCACCTCAACAGTCCAACTATTATTACCCCCAACGTATGGACCCATATCTGTATACCTCTATTCTTAAACTTCTTATTAAGTTTGAATACTGCAAATGGAGAAATATGTACTAATCAGCTGTTTATAGCTTCTCAATCGGTTCCCAGCCACAGTAACCAAGATCCTTACCCCTCTCGTCCTTATACCCCACAAGATATGGCAATGCGCATGCCCATAAGCCAAACAAATCCTCCGCAAGGCATGTTCACACGAAATCTTATTGGAAGTTTATCAGCTTCCGCATTCCGTCTCACAGACCCGGATGACCGAATCGGAATCTGGTTTGTGCTTCAGGATCTTTCCGTCCGAACCGAGGGTGATTTCCGGTAAGTCATTAATCTAATCACCCCTTACTAAGTCTTATATTAACACCGAAAACAGCCTTCGCTTTTCATTCGTTAATGTCGGTGTACCTTCGGCACCGCAGAATAATCCTAACTCATCGTGTTCCGTAAACACTGGAAAAGCCCCTGTTCTCGCTTCGTGTTTCTCAGAAGTCTTCAAAGTTTACTCGGCGAAGAAATTCCCTGGAGTGGTAGAAAGTACACCATTAAGTAAATGTTTTGCCACACAAGGTATGAAAATTCCATGTCTCACTTTCTATAGATCGAGAAATTGAATCTAATCGCGTGGAATAGGTATTAAGATTCCGATCCGAAAGGATGGAAAAGACGGACCAGGAAAAGGAGGAAAGGACGGTAGCCGAGGTGATGATGACGACGACTACTAAGCGGATGATATTTTTGTTTGATGCTTCCCGAATGGCCCTTCCTTTGGACACTGCTCGCATATATACATATCATTTTCTGGAGCCCTTGACCGCATCGTGCATGCACTACTCATTCCCCTAAACTTTCATCACAGCTCCATTTATTCGAGTTCAAAATTCAGATTCCCCAGCGAGTTATTTGTTCTACATCTAATTCGTAAAAAAAGAAAATTAAGTCGAGACCAGAAGAGACCAAAAAAAGAAGGATAAAAAGATATTACTATCTATCAGGCGTTTCGTGTTTGTGTGATACTGAGACGTGCATGGCATACTTATACGTTTTCTGCCTTGCAGTTTGCAACTGCAATTGCGGTCGTGTGCTGTGTTTGTTTGTCTGTTTGTGTGAAAAGAATTTGAGTTGATTTGATTTTGGATATATTGGTTACAGAGGGCTGGGAGGAAGTATGGGCGTGGTTAGTTATATAGGCGAGGGTTTTTATTTGGAATCTTGGTTCTTGGATGTTGGATTTTGGATTTTGGATTGTTTGGGGGATTGGGATTGAAGTATGGGGTTTGGGGAGAAGAGGTGGGAGATGGGAGATAGGGGGATGGATGAGGCAGGGGAGGAGGGGGGAAGGGGGAAAGTGGGGGAGGTTGATATAAGATTACTTTGGTTCTTATTTGTACCCTGTGGAATGCTATATTGGTAGGTAGGTAGGTTGTTAAGTAGAATCCTATGTATAAAACGATTGCTTGGACAATTGATCATTGACCATTCATTAGTTGTGAGGATGGTTTTCTTATATTGTATTATTTTATATTACACCACATTACATTGTATATTCATTTCATTTCATTTTAGAAATTGAAGATGTAAATACATATGTATGTATATATTCTGTGTACAGATAAATATATTTATCTATATACGACACGATACAAAGCTTACCTATCTATATATCCAGAACTTTCATCATTATGATGTAGAATATACAATGTGAGTTGGAGGTGCATTGCAGTGTCTAATTACTTGCGAGTTCCGAGTGCCGATTTCCGAGTTCTTATTTTCTGGTTCGGGTTTTTGGGTTTGAGGTTTAGGTTTGGGTTGTGGACGCCATGCGGGGAGAAAGGTGAGGGGATTATTGGGGAAATATTTCATTGGTATTATTTGGTGGGAAGGATGATGGAGGAGAATGGGAAGGGGGTGTTTGGGGGACTGGATGAGAGGATGGCGAAATGGGAAATGTGAATCTTTCTAGTTAGTTAGGTTTCAGGATATTGTTCTTCATATTGAGTCACTCAATCTCCCATAGGACTGATGGTTATCTTATGCGTGATGTATATTATGGTAAAGAGTTCAATATTGCACGTTTCCTACAAGTAGCTAGCTATCCTACATTCATCAGATTCGTGCACCAGGGTATTAACCCTTCATCTAAAATTCGAACTTTACCCTTGCTGTCCGCTCTCATACATGTTAGAATCAAGTCCAACCAAATTATACTCCTACACAAAACTCCCCAAGTTTAATCGCTAAAATCCTCCTCATCCCTATAATCCCCCAACAAAATATCGCCGACTCCAGGGCCCCCTAGCAAACCATTTGCATTACTCTTTTCCTTTTCTCTTCCCCATTCCGTCTCCACTCTCAAAAATATCCACATCCATCTCCGGGCCACCTCCAATACCTCTAATAAGAAAATGCCGCTTTCAAAATCGGCAAAATGATCGAGGTGAGGAGAGAGTTTGAGGGACCATGTGAAACGGAGGAGGAAATCGATGAGAATGGCGATGTAGTAGAGTTCTTGAGAAGGGAGATATAGGCGGGGTCGAAGGGGGTAAGAAGATTTATTTTTTGATGAGGGGGTGAGAAGAGTGAGGTCCCAGTCTTTGGTTATGTCCCACCAGAAGGAGTACATAGAGTTGATGAAAACGCTCACGAGCCAGAGTCGATAGAGCGTTGCTGTAGTAATATTTATTGATGTTTCGTTGATCGATAAGTTTCGCTGCATACCGGAGAATATTATCACAGGGAATGCTGTGGAATACTTGAGCGCATTGGCTAAGTGTTGACCACCCCATCCAGAGGATGTTGAACGTGAATTCTTAACTCGTAGATATTCGATTATACATTGTCGAAAACGTATAAGTGAGGGTATCGCAATCATGATAGGGACGAGATATTGTCCACCGCAGCCACGATCAGGTCGAGATGTTGCGCTACCAGAAGGGGTGAAGAACATGCAGAAGGAGACGAAAAGATCGGCTATAATCTTCGCATAGGAGGTGAGAACATCAGCCAGGAGGATATCGCCAAATTTCCCTTCATTGGGAAGAGCAATTCCTCCGATTGATACACGCTTGAGGGCGGAAAGAAAATGGAGACGGCCGGAGTAGGATGCGCGGCGCAAGGGAAGGAAGAAAGCGAAAAATAGGAGGCATATGTAAGATATCGGGAGAAAGTCATAGTAGATTACTAGAGCTGGGTCGCGGTGGGAGAGAGTCCAGAAGAGGAGAATCGAAAGGACAAGAGGGATTGTCAGATATGTAGCAAGTCGATAGGCAGACAAATGATGAGGAGGATCAGTTCGCGCAGAAGCTCGTTGTGGATATTGGATGAGTGAAGGGACATTCTGGTAGGCGCATGTGTTAGAGTGATGCGCAGGGCTCGAGAAGAATAAGGACTTACAATTTTAACAATTGAAAGATAATGAAGATTTGCGCCCCAAGCCCATACTCCTGTTAACATATTAGTGAATCGCCTTCAAACCTAAGTCGGAAGAGTAATGTCATATACCTAACACAATGATCAATGCAACCCTGTATGGCAGAGGAAGAGTACGACTAAACGAGTCGAGCTCGTTTTCAACAGCCGGGTCTCCATCCATTGTTATCGCCTACTAGAACACCGCATTTGATATCCTAAACTTGTAATGAGTGACTGAAGTGAGTTGCAAAGAATCAGATTGGAGTTAATGCGCAAAAGATGTCTCCGCAGGTTGGAAAGGGAGATGTTTTCATATGAAAACTCCAAAAATAATATGATACGTAAGAAAGCCACATGGAAATTAGATAGAACTAAGTAGCCTCGAGCTAACTCAGCCACATGTGATACAAGGCTGGGAAATGGCGGGAATATTGACCTCGGCTCCAAGCTCATTTATTCCTCGTATCAGCTTCGTAAAACGCATCAACTTCAACCATATAATTAATTATATCTATTTCCAGGACATAATACATATAATGTCAGACCATGTATCTGAAATGTCCCCGTCGGAGGATAAGCGTCCTTCCTATCAATACCCTTTCGCGACAGCACCAGACATAATTCGTTCACATCAAAAGGATGCATACTTCGAAGGAGTTCTCCTGAACCATCTTTCAGGTCTCCTACGTCGATTATATGGAGCGAGATTCCTACACACGTATACCAATGAAGCGCGAACATTTTCCGAGTTACTATATCTTGGTCTCACGACCTTCATTGGTAACCGCACTTTAGGGGAAGAGTACTGCGATATTGTTCAAGTTGAAGATGACACACTTAAACTTCCTGCCATTTCTCGCCGCGCAGGCTATATCTTGACTTCAATACTTCTTCCATATTCTCTCACCAAGATCCTTCCCTCATTTCGCACACGCATCCGCAATAAACTCGAAGCCAACCTCCGCAAGCTTGCTCGAAAATCACAAGAGAAGTCATACTCTTACAAATTTCAACAATATATTCTCACTCATCTCTCAACCATCACGTCACCATCACCCATTCACGCGCTTACCCTCACAGTCTTTTATTTCTCGGGTTCTTATTATGAACTCTCTAAACGCTTGTTGGGTCTACGTTATATCTTTACAAAGCGCATTGCGCCATCAGAACAGCGTGTAGGGTATGAAGTTTTAGGTGTGCTCCTACTGCTTCAAATGAGTGTGCAAACCTATCTTCACCTAAACAATACTTTTTCTACCGACATTCCCTCCACCGCCTCCGGAAGTTCCGCCGTTCTATCTAATGGCGTAGAGATTCCCCTCGACTCCCCATCCTCCCCAAGCGATCTCCTTGCTTCATCCCAGGTTATCCCCCACTCCGCAAGCTCTATCGGTAAAACCACAAACACGCCTGTATTACCAGGCGCAAGATATAATCTGAGTGACAATGACGTTATGGGATGGATCAAGGGTGAGCAAAATAGAAAATGTACATTGTGTTTGGAGGAGCTGAAGGATCCCAGTGTGTTGGGATGTGGACATGTTTTTTGTTGGAGCTGTATTGGGGATTGGGTTAGAGAAAAACCGGAATGCCCGTTGTGTAGAAGAGAGGTTTTGATTCAACATATCCTACCATTGAGAGGGTAAAGGATGAAAGGTCGACCAGTGGGCATAGGAGTTGAACACAACTGGAGTCGGGATATGGATATGATGTTATGAATAATTTGAATGCATACGAGCATTATATTAATTTAGAGTTAAAAGGATAGTTATTCGGGTAAAATTGTATGAATCATTCAGTATGGTATATAGGATGGAATTGGATATTAATAAGTGCAGTCCCCAAAGTTCGGACGGCGGTTCCAAATCTCAAAATTTTCAATATACAAATCATTGAACATAATTCATATACCAAGTGGATTAAAGCCCCAGACTGGAGTTTAATGTCTTTGTTGATTTGAACCTCATTGTTTCTGTATATCAATCTTATTGACATCCCAATCCTCAATATATCGAATGGATACAAAAACAAAAGGGCCTTCTTTATTAGCCTATAGAAGCAAATACATCAGAGAAGGCATGCTTTTTCAGGAAAATCAAATATCATGAGCAAGCAAAAGCAAAGATGAAGATATCCTGTGCATAAATTAGTATTTGCAAACGCCGGGAAGTGACGGAAGACCATGGATTGATGCATGGTAACACGCCCTCAATGCCGCCACTCCCAAAAGGAAAGTTAATGAATCATCAATATGAGATATTTATGTGTGTTGGCGATGTGCAGCCCCGGGCTTCCGTCGGCAGCAAATGGTAAGAAAGAAATCTGACGAAAAATAAAGGGGGAACGAACGGATCAGAATTTCGATTTCTCATATTAATTGCTTGCTCCCTCCATATCAACTTACTCCCTCTCATCTATACTTGCTTCATATTTCCTCATTTCTCAACCCACAATCGAAATCTGACGGTTCGATATACATCCGCCAAAATGGATATTGACAATGTGTCGGGAGTTCCCCAGTACATAGAAATATTGGATAGACAGCAGAAGGCACTTAAAGCCGCCATGGCACGTCAAGGACAGCGACCCACAGACTTAAAATCTCGGCAAGAACTCATTACTCAATTTATGGTGTCGATTCTAGCACAGAGCATGATGCAACTTGGACCGCAAATGACTAGTCATTTTCATACCTCCTTCGTTCCCATTCCATATAAGCCATGTGTTACACCTCTTGACGAGTTGAAGCCAACACGCATCAGGAACCTGGGATTGGAGACTCATCACCGTGGCAGCTACCTTCTTGTTCGTGCGTTAACTCCTCCAAGGAGAATGACTGCGATCATGGCTATTGTAGAGGACGAAAACGGAGATGCCATACCGCTGCAGCTCTATCAACAACCGGATGAAAAGTTTCGCCCTGCCACAAGTGTCATCATGAAGAATGATGTATATTTGGTCAAGGAGCCTTATTTCAAGGCTACAAGTGATGGTAGTTATGGTCTTCGGGTCGACCATGTGAGCGATATCATCCGCCTTGATGAACACCACGATTTGTTGCCGGAAAAGTGGAAGCCAACAGTTTTGGACATTGGTAAGACTGCGGATGACTGGAAGCTAGAGGGGAATGTGGCTATGGAAAGAAAGCATTATTGGGCGGCTATTCAGAGGTATCTTACAAGCTCTTCTGTGGCATGTGGAGAGCCCTTTCGCTGACTTTTATTAATATAGCTATACAGCCGCTCTTAAATGTCACCCCACCGCTGAAACTGCAAAGATAATCAGTCTAAATCGTGCACTGGCATATCTCAAAGATGGAAGCTTTGATGCCGCACTAGCTGACACAGAATGCATGATCTCTCCCACCGATGCATCAGAAAAAGCACTATATCGAGGCGGTCAAGCTCTATATGGACTCGGAAGATTTTCCGAATGCCACGATATCTTCGAGCATTTCTGCAAAAAGTTTCCCAATAGCTCTGTCGCTACTGCGGAACTTAAGCGGGTTCGCTGTCGTTTAGCAGAGCAGCAAAGTGGCATATACGACTTTGAGTCAATCTACAAGGAGATCTCAACGACTAAACCACCACATTTAGATCATGCAACATTTCTAGGACCAGTAGTCGTGAAACCTTCCCCTGATCGCGGGTTAGGATTGTTTACCACCAAAGCTGTTAAGGCGGGAGAACTTCTTTTGTGTGAGAAGGCATTCGCCCATTGCTATGCTGGAACTTCAGAGGGCTCGGAGACTTTTTCGAAAACTACTCTTCTGATGAATGTACATACGAATAAAATGACAGTTGGTACCCAAGCCGATCTCATCACGACTATTGTACAGAAACTCTGGAAAAATCCATCCCTTATACCGGAGTTTAACGCCCTTCATCGTGGATCTTATAAGCTTGCCGAAAAAACTGAAGTTGATGGGAAACCAGTCATTGACACGTAAGTTATCATCTCTTGACATAATTTGACAAGCACTAATATCCTATTCACTAATAGCTTTCTGATCGAACAAATCATAGCTCTCAATGTCTTCGGATGTCCACTCTCATCCTACGAGGACCACTCCACAGCCTCCAAAGAGAACGATAAACACCATTCATGCGGCATATGGCTCATAGCTTCAAAAATCAACCACTCATGTCTTAGCAACGCTCGTCGTAGCTTCATGGGCGATCTACAACTCGTCCGCGCTACACGCGATATACCCGCGAACACGGAAATAACCTTCTGGTATACGATGCCTACAGGGGACAGCGAAGAAATGAAGAAGGAATTGAAAACCTGGGGATTTCAATGCAAATGTCCTATCTGTGTGGATTCGGAAACAACACCTATAAATCATGCTAGAATGAGAAAAAGGTTACTGCGAGATTTGAAACTGCTTTTGAATGCAAGTGCGAGTGAGGTTGATACAGCTAAAGCAGAGCGTTTATTAAATTCCCTCGAGAAAACATACACACATCCCGTCACATCCATCCCACGATTAGCATTACGAGAACCGTATTTCACACTCGGTGGTATTTACTCCAAGCAGGGAAAGACAGAGAAAGCCGTATCAGCCACATTAAAGGCTTTAATTTCCATTGGCTTCGTGATTAAGAATGCACATTTACCTGCACTACCAGGCGAAACTTTTGAGGTGGGGAAATGGGGTTTGCCTATGCCGGGCGTAGTGGAGGCGTGGGGGTTTCTCTATAGTGCTTATGCGGTTCTTGCGCCGAGGTGTTTGGGGATGGTTAGGGAGGCGGCGAGGTTGGCTTATCGTGTTTGGGTTGGGGAGGATATGTCGTTTGGGAGGGTGTATGGGGTTTAAGTTGGGGAGGAAAGTACAGTGAAGTAAAGAATCTATGATGTGCTGGTTTCTAACATAGGGTTGGGAAGTATTTGCCAATTTGAATTCGGTATTGTATTCTTACCACAGATTTCGTAGAAAGAGTTTCATGGATCGGGATTTTTTTAGTTATCACTTTATTGGCTCACTGTCAAATTAATGTGTGTGTTGTATACTTGGCGTGTGGTTGGCCTCTAAATTTGGAGTTGGGGTTGTAATGATGTGGTGATGGGATGTGATATTGGAATAAGATTGAAATAGGGGATAGAATAGGAAATAGATACCCATATAAAGACTAAAACACTGGTCTGTTCAACAAATCTCTCATCCGTGTATATTTCATCCAATTTGTTTCCTAGGAAAAGTTATTTTCTTCTCTTCTATTGTATTCTATTCTACTCTATTCTACTTTATTTAACTCTGCTCTGCTCTACACTACCCTATTCTAATGCAATGCAATACAATGCAAATACAAATGCAACTGCAACTGCAACTGCAATACCATCCAAAAGATCCAACGCCTTGCCATGCTCAAACCAACCTAATTAAAAAGACAAATATAGCATCACAGAACTTTTGACACTTTCACAATGACCAAGTAATGAATCAATACATCGTGCAACCATTTTCGGCCCTAGCGAATGCATTTGCGAAGAATTCCTGCATTGCGACGTAATGGAAAAGGATTCCACCCAAGACCGCAAAATGCCAGAGGTTATGACTACCCCCAATGTAATCAAAAGCGCCTGGACACCATCGTTCAGGTACTTGACTAGCATAAACGAATGCGCCTAGTAAATAGACAGTGATACTCTTGGCAAGAGGGGCGTAAAATTCCGCAGCCCATGCTCCACCACGAGTAAGATTGAGTTGAAGGGCAGGAACAAAACCAGTTGCGCCGAGACAGACGTAGAAAGCCACGCGTGCCCAAGCCATATCTTGTCGGTTGAAGGTTGGATGCCAAGGAAGAATAACGCCTCCTACACCAAGGGCAGCAGTCACACCCATGTATAGCCAACGGCTTACAGGCTCACAGTAAAATGCCGTATAATCGGCTGTCATGATAGAAGCGGCGATGAGTAATGAGATGCCAGTATAATCAACACAAGCGAATCTTTCCAGAAGTGTTTGATCAGCTACGCTGTTCATTGTATGCCACATTGTACTGCAGACTAGACATTTGCAAGCAGCAAAGAAGAAACATGCCGCGATGACGACATCTGCTTTCGTACTCAAGGAAAATGCGTGACTGGAAGGGTAGAAGTAAAATGCGATCGATAGAACAATGAGCAAGCCGATTGCATGTGACCAAATATTCACTGTTTCGTTTGATAATCCGAACATCGACTGGATGCATTCCACCTTTGATTCAGTGAAGCGGTAACCTTCAACGATATGTGGGTTGACACGCCATGGAACGGGTAAGTCTTCGTATCTGATGAGTCCGTGTTTCTTCGCGCGAGCAATCGCATTTTCGATATGTTCTTCCACCGTCCCGGCGGCCTTCTTCGCTCTTTCGAACCCTTCATCGACCACTTCTCTAGCTTTTCCCAATCCCTCATCTACAATCTTGCGCCCCTCATCCATTAAACTTTCTGCTGTGCCCCTTAAACCCTTCTCCTTTACTTTATACGCTCTTGCTTCGAACTCCGACAGAATTCCTTCTAACAAGCCAATACCTGTATGAACCTTCTCGTGTAATGTTTCATGCGCTGCTAGAGCATCTTGGTATCTCGATTCGACAGTTTCAACCATAATCCTCGCCCTCCTTTTCGTAGCCCCTATTACCTCCCCTGAGACCTGCGAACATCTCATTCTCACAGCCTGTAGCGTCGCATATGACCATGAAATACTCGAATCGAAAGTAAGATTTCCATATTTCTCAATGAAATCTAATCTGCGCTCAAGTTCCGACAGGAATATATCGACCTTTCTCTCCATTAGACTCTATGCGCCACAACCCAAATGTCATTCGGAAAAATACCTTGAGCATCAAACCTTCCTCGCCATCCATCAGTTGTTCGCTGGCTGTTCGTTTTGGGTGAAAGGAGGAGTGGCGTCTCCTATTTAGGGGCTTGGTATCTTCTGTCCCAGATGCCATCGTACTGGTGGTAACATCCTCATAGGACTCCACCGTCAAAGAAGATGCTGCGCAAACCATGGTTTGTATATATTTAGGATTCACACACAAGAATGAATGTATGTGAAACGAATTATCTTGTTAACCGTCAAGGTGTACCATAGAAAGCCGTGGTATAGTATCCCATAGAATTTTAAAAAAGTGATAGAGCAGGAGAGACAATGGCGGCAACCAAAGAAATATAGGAGAAATTATAGGAACGAGATGGACGGATTGAGAAAGGAAAATAGGAAGTATGTAGATAGTGAAGGAGAAGAAGTAGAAAGATTAGAGTATGTCCGGTAGCACGAGAGTACAATAAGTAAATCAATTGGATCGGACATGGACTGGTAGATCATTGAAGCAAAAGGGACTTAAACCGAGGGGCACAAGTCTCCCAAGTATCTTAGTATCTCAAGACCTTAGTAAGAATAATCCCAAAGCGGAAACCCTTGAATTCGGATGCAGGTCCACCGAAATTGTTGAGCACCGGGCAAGACTTCTTTGGGGAAGGTTTTTTTTTGATCGATTCAAGGACTTTGGATTGGTGGATTTCTTATTTGTTGATAATAACATTTTATTAATATTACCCAGTCCTGCATGTAACCTGGGCAAAGAGTATTAATTTGTACCAGGTGCTAAGATCTCTATATTGCCGATAATCCGTGTGGAGAGAAGAATTAACAAGGGGAAGAAACAAAAAAAAGGAAAACCAAAAGTGTTGATTATATAATCAAGTGAACAATAAAGCTGCAATGCGGTTGAAAGTCTTTTTCCGATGGGTTTCTCCTATTCTGTATACTAGGTACTTAATTGTTATTACATACTATGTACACTTTATTGATCTATACTATATAAAAAAGAAAAAGCTACTTAATGTAATGCATTCAGCCTTATCGCAATCGCCATTTCCACTGAAACATCTCCCAATCAATCGTCAGAGGCAAATGCAGGGAAACGTTACACGCAATATTTTAACTCCGTGCATGCGCTTCCCAGGTTCTACTGTATGGAGTACTCTTGTAACTCCGTACATATTAACAGCCAGCCACCCCCAACTTGCTTTCCGAAGAAAGAGTCCCACATTGTTCGTTTGCATCATTTTGCATTACTCCCATCATTTTCGTCACTCCCGCCACTTCCTCCATTTTCATTCCATTATTATTGTATTAAAAAGTATTTATTACCTGAAGCAGTTTTGCAACTCTCACTAATTACAACTGAATGTTACTATCCATCTGAAGCTTCGAATTGTCCTGATACCGTAAATGATGATGCTGTTTCTCCACTCGCTACATGACAAGACTTTAATAGACAGGGGATATCTTTGAAATCAGATGAAAAAAACTTCCTCCATGAAGTCAGATGTATTAAATATATTTATTAGGATCAAACCTTAATAACTCCACGCAATGCCATGCCGTCATTGTTACTTGTCCCCCATTAAATCCTTTCATTTATCGTCGCTCCCATGCTATAACTGCTGGCGCCAATGGCCTGGTGAATAAACTGGTGTAATCAGTACCAATGACATCCTTGCTGCCATCAACGTTCTTGAATTTGAACATTCTAACCACAGTGGCCATGATAGTGATGAGCTGTACATTGGCGAATTGTTCACCGATACACCTGTGTCTGCCAGCACCGAATGGAAGGTAAGGACTAGAAGCACCTTTGCTGATCATTCCATAGCCATAATCTTGGAATTCTTCGTCCTGATCATTGCCAATTACACGGCCCGAGCCAATGTCCCATCTATGAGGGTCCCACTCAAGTGGCTCTGGGAAGTAATCCGCGTCTCGACTTGTACAACCAGGAGATGCCATAAGAGTATGCGAGGTTGGAATGACATATTTTGTTCCGCTAATTGGCATTGGTGTTGTGACTTTGCGCATAATAGAATGGATGGGAGTGTGGATGCGGAGAGTTTCCTTCAAGATGTTTTGATGAAGAGGAAGTTTGGCCAGGTCCTCGTACTTGAGAGCAGGGAGATCGGCGCCCAGAACTTGGATTTGTTCTTGATAGAGTTCTTCCATGATATCTGGGCGTGAGGCAAGACGAAGCAGAATCCAAGAGATAGAAGATGAGGAAGAGTGCTGTCCGGCCATGAGAAGAGCGATCATCATGTGAGCAATCTCTCGGTCTGGAACGGGGGTTCCATCTTTGTAGGACGAGCGCATCAATTGCCACATAATGTCGGATTTGAAGTCGGCTTCCGTAGCCTGAGCACGTCGTTTTTTAATAATATCCATATATGTTGCTGCGACAGTTCTCTGCGCATGGTCGCGGGCACGGTTGTGAGGAAGAGGAGCCCAGTGAAGCATAAAGTTGATGGGACTAAAGCCCATATCAAGGTCGTGGTAGAGAGAGGCGAAAGTAGTATCAAATCGATCACGGACTTCCTTTCCTTGTAGAGTATGCGAAGCGGTATAGATGGTGATTTCAGCCATAGCGGGACCAATATCGGCAGTTCCCTTTTGTCCCTTGAATACCGAAGAACGTTTCATGAAGTTTTCCACTTCCATTTGTATAATTGGGACGTAGGATCGGAAAGCTTCAGTAGACAAGCCAATTTTCATGAACTATTGCAGCACAATTAGCCATCAACTCGTCTTTCTATCGCCTATTAACAACCCACCTTTTTTTGCTCCATCAATTTCGCATTGGGGCAATCGTAGACTACATCCTTTCCAAACACGGGAGTTGTCAAAACAGTATATATTTCCTCCGCATTGAGATCCTTAAGCTTGCCATTGAGAATAAAGTCATTGCCATTTCGTCCAAGATATACTGTATTCTTCTTTCCGAGCAAGACAAATGTGAAAATATCACCGTACTAATACACAAACATTAGTCTCCAAGCAATGAACACGGGGATGGAAAGCGTACCTTTGCGCGACACTCGAAGAAGAATTTATAAGGGTCCATACCATAAGTGACGGTGCTACCAATGATTGGAAACCAGTGGAAGACCACTGGTGGTTCATTGGGGTTCGCAAATAACACTTGATTCAGGACATTGAGAATGACAGATAGAACGACGAATGCTGCCACGCCAGCAGCAACAACAGCAAAGGTTGACCTTTGCGAAATCTCTTGAGCCAATGGCCCGGCAATTGTTTCGAGAATACCCATATTGACACGCGTGTATATTTCCGGCACACGGAGAGCGTGTATACAAGTGATAGAAAGAAAGTTGTGAAGACTTATCGTTACAATTGCGAAAGTCGACAAATTTAAATGGGATATTTCTTCAATAGGAGATGCAGGGATGTCTTTACCTTAGTGTTATTTGAACCGCATTGATTGGTCACCGCGATTTCGTGTTCGTACCTTAAATTCTCGCTTGAGGAAATCCGCAGGAGAATGGCTGAAGTCAATTCCAGATAAGTGTAGATATTGTGCTATCGTACGACCGATAAAATCACACAAGCTCATGGATAGAACAGACCACTAATCATCGAAACATTATTGGTATACTCGGTATGATGACATGATGAACTTGTTACTACACCTAGATCTTAAGCTCCGTCTTAGTTAATAACTTCCGGAAACTAGTGTAAGGACAACTATGGAATAAGGGGTCCAGGAAAATCTTGTACTAATACAATAAGTCTGCCGCTATCTCTAATTAGCCATTCCTATTGCGAGTTCCCCTTCGTGTATTGACAGCTAGTATTGCGAGTCATTGGTAGCGGTCAGAGTATATCACCAGAGCCGACCTTGTGGATGTTCCTAATGATTTGTTCACGTTCTGAAATACATTTAGACATGAATACACTCTCAAAACAACACTTTGAATGTCCCAATTAATTAACAATACTGCAACTCGAACTACATATATTTACACAAAAGCCATCCTCTTACGCCAATTCGCATATAAATCCCCATGTCTTAAAAAGCCCCACCAAATATCAAAGCTTCATTCGATTAGTTGGAGCTCAGTCTTTCTATTCGGCGCAAAATCATCCTTCCACAAGCCCCACAACCTCTCAAGCTCCGTCACATACTCCTCATGAACACGATCGATGTCCTTTTGTTCCGGGCTTTTGGATTGAACTACCTTGATTGGTCGCCCGACGACAATATTCAATGGCCTGCGGTATGGCATAAGGCCGACATCGTAATTGAAAACACCTCTAGCATGAAAGAGCGGTATGGTGAAGCCCATTAACTTCTTAACAAGTAATTGAAATTTGTGAATTCTGGGGTGGGAATCTGCTGAGAATTGATCATAAAGATCATTCTCGCCAAATGCCAGAACAGGAACTAGGTCTGCACCGGTTCGGATAGCCATCTTGACGAAGCCCTTACGACGCTTAAGGACTAATCTGAGGCTGTATGGTTGCGCATCCAGTGATTCAGCTGCGCCTCCTACAACAATAGTAATTGCGCGGCCCATACCCTCCTGGTCATAACAGTCAGAATCTGGTTACAAATTTGATTGCTTGAACATACCTTGTTTGGCCCGCCCTTGGAAAGTAGATTCTCGCAAGATTCTTTCGATACAGATGCTAGGCCCATTGCTAAAGCATATTCACGGTATAGTGGTATTCTGAAGTTTGTATCTAATGTGAGAAGCGTATTTTTGATACCCGGGAATAGCTGAGAAAATCCAAGGGCTTCAGTCGCGAAGGCCGCAAATGCCCCATGAGAAATGATACCGTGGGGATGATATCCGAATATGTACTTCCTTGTAGGCGGTAACTCTTGAGTTCTGTGCAATCTAGCTGGAAAGTAAGATGCAAACAATGACCAAACGGGTAGCGATCGAAAGAAGTTCGAACGATGACTCAAAGTCCCGGATATCGAAGCCTTAGATGTCATAAGGTAAATCATATATGGAATCAATATTGGCCAGAAAAGGGGTATCGCGCATAGAAAAAAGAACGTTGATACACAAATGGCGATGCAAAGTGTATGAAAAAGCACTACCAAGGTTTGAAGCCTGCGTTGAAGTGGAACATTCATGGGCGCCCATCGGATACCACTTGTGTGCCACCGTTGCCCGGCTTGCCTCCCACTGACTAGTTTTTCGTCGTTACGCTTTGGAGCATCATCGTGGTTCTTTCCAAGTTGTTTCTCGTAATCCTCTGATGGCTTCACACTGATGAGCTTACTACCATTTCGTTCACCACGGATCTTCTCAAAGACGGTAGTGTTTTCGTTTCCATCCTGAGTGTCGGGCATTGTATTCTTATGCGAGCTGCGACCATTCTCATTTGTCCCATTAGATTTCTGCGAAGAAGATTTTCGATGTCTGTGTCGGGGAGGGCTTTTCGGAGTATCGTCGAGGCCCTAAAATGTTAGCCTTTAGATCAAACATTGAATGCTCCTTCTAGCACAAACCGTAGCCGAGTACTCTCTTTTTGACTCCTGTCTATCGACCTTTGGTCTAGCTTCCTTGTTGTCTGTCAATTTTGCAGAATCCGTGGTACCATTAACATCCACGATTCTCAAAACCGACACTTTATGCCTATGGCCGGTTTCGTCCGAACCATTCGAACTCGTCACCGCTTGCCCATTCACCTCATTTTCTTTATTTTCATCACTTTTATCATTCGGAAGCTCCGGTGTTTTTTCGGCAGCATCAGCATAGCTTTTGGGTGGAAGATTTAACTTTTCGCGTTCTTCTGGCAAAGCCGGCGTTGAAATTATTGTTGATATCGACATTGGAATGAGGGCACCGCGTCGCGAACCATTAAAGATACGTTAAGAGGGACAAAGGGCAGAGTCAAGCAAGTAATAAGATAAATACGATAAATAGAAATGGCAGAAGAAACTATCGTTTTTGACACGCGAGATACCGAATTTGCTTTTAAATACTGAATAGTCTCGCATTGGCCTCAATTGAATAAAACTATGACGTGCCCTTCTGCTACCGGGCGGGATTAATAAAAACATTTGAACTAGAAGAAGCTTTTGATTTAGCTGGTACATCCGTACACTAAAATTGCAAGGCCCCACTGTACAATGCATCCGTTCGTCATCCGTGCCTGAACGGTTGAGCCGGAATACTGAAGAGTCTTGGCCACCAATGTATGTAGGTGCTGGTGCTGTAGCTACCTAGGTAATTGCAGGTGAATTCAATACTTTACTTTAATATTCCACGGCACTTTCACAACATTTTCAATACCTAGCTTCAACATGTCAATCAACTCAAATTATCCAATCCAATGGATCAAACAACTCAACATTCATAACCGAAGAGAAATTAAATATGATTTCCGAACTGGATGAATCCCCTGCTCCCTTCTTAAACCTGTATGAATCGATTAATCCCCTTGTTCCGAACCTTCTTCCCCTTTCCTTTTCCTTTCCGAATATCTTGATATGCTAATACCAATATCCAACACGAATCTATGTAGAACATGTACATTTGGGATGCGAAATATCATATTCTTCAATGGTGTACAAGGAGGCGACGTCTCCCTTTTTCTGCTGCAACCGAACACATTCACGTATGATCATTCTAAAACTTTGATTTATGAAACTCCAACCCCCGCAAATATACGTTGAAATCGTAAACTGCCGTGATTCTGTGACTGATTACAGCAAGAATATAGATACAAACATCATGCCTCCTTCAAACCTCTTCCTACCAAAGTATTTCCACCATAACGAAAGAAAGGAAACCCCGGGGTATGCCGGCACTGATAAAAAAAACCCGCCAACTTCTATGGAAAAATAGTGCTACCTTTTTTTGTACTGGAGAGTCCCATCATTGACACTCCCAAGATAAAACGCCTCCACCACTGAAAGAAGTGAAATTCGTGCAAAAGTCTCATAAACCAAGCAAAGTATCGTGACCCATTTTTCGCTCCTCAACGCCATGATATCTTTGTACACCAGAAGTGATTTTGGTACAGAACAGCTGCGTATACTTGCGTCCTATGATGATTGTTGTTACGATGTTCCCGACTGCTGACTTTGATTTTGAGAACTTAGTTGCCTACGGACAGCAATAAGCTCCTGCGACAATAGATTTACCTTCTCATCCTGGGCCTTAATCTTTTCTTCCTGACTTTTCTCCTTGGCTTCCATGGCAAGCACTTTGTCAGTAAACAGCAAGAGTTTTTCCTCTAATGTATTAACATATGCGAAAACTCCTGAGGCGCCAGATGCGAACAAATTGTTACTACTATCACCACTGCCTTGATGGCTTGGGGGACCTCGGCTTTGAAGAGGATTGGAAGGTTGGAACAAAGACGTAGGGGATGTAGATTGCTGGATAGGTTGTTGCTGTTGAGAACCTTGTTGAGCATTTCCAGGGCTCTGTTGATTGGATAATTGAGATGTTAGAGTGAATCTTGTGTCAGGAGGAGCTAATCCAGTAAGGGCAGGAAGCTTTGGCCCCTGTGCGCTGCGCGGTGACGGTAAAGACATTCCAGGTGGCGGACTTCTCCCGGATTGGTGACGGCCAAAATGCTGTTGCTGAAATTGAGTAGTCAAGCTAGGGGATCGTTGCCTAGTGATCGAGGCGGAATCGTGGCCAAGTTGGTGTGAATGCATAGCTGCCGGACTGAGTGGCTTAGGACTTTCGGTCATACCACTTTGGGAGAACATCGAGCCACCACTGGTGCTGAGTGGCAATGATGATAAGCTATTATTAGGTGTATGAACGCTAATAACGTTGTTTTGCATGCTCGGTGATGTAGCCGAACTAGAAGAACCCACACGATCCGTACCAGGAGGATAAAGTCCTGTGAGAGGATTTGGTCTTGGTCCAGCAGGAGGATAGGTGCTTGGAGTGCGCGAGTTGGAATTGTAACTATCTTGGCTACCAACATTGCCAGCATTAGAGGCTACATGCTGTGCTTTGATGCTCGGTAGACTAAACCGTCGGCCGTCTTCCTCAGACATCTCTACTTCGTTGGCATGGGGATTACCGTTCGTATACATTATTCCGTCCATTCCATTGTCGTCCGTTTCGCCTACATTAGACCCGTCAAAATCGTCGTCCCCGCCAAAACTTCCCATGCTCGCCCTCCTTCCGGCGCAGCCGCCTAGGCCTTTGCTATGACGGGCGAGTGCATCTCCTCGCGCGAATTTTCGATCGCATTTTGGGCAAATATGAGGGCGCTCTCCTGTGTGCAGTTTCATGTGACGTTTCAAGTCGTGTAACCTTCGGAACCTCATTTGACAAGTCTGACACACGTAAGGTTTTTCTTGACTATGTGTTAGAAGATGACTTTTCAAATTGTGGTGTCGAGTAAACTCGGTCTCGCAGTAAGGACATTTGTGTTTCTTTTGGGAGGGCGACCTTGGCAACAGTTGCTGGTTTTGATTAGGCATAGGCAAGCTCATACCTCGCGTGGGATACTGCGATGGATCTACTTGTGTCATATTGCCTGGGAAAGACATTGATTTGTTCGAGTGCTGTTCATCAATGGCGGCTTGAAGCTGGTTGATACCTGATCGTGAATCCCGATTTTCGGCCTCTAAAGTATTGGTCATGGAAGGGGGACTAGCAACAATTGTAGGGCTAGCGGTTGCGGTTTGTGCCGTACTGCCCAAGCTTGCAAGGCTTGTGACGCTCGCTGGACTGGTTTCGGGCCTCTCATCGAACGGCAAAGTCGTTGGTATCGTCAGTGCACTCGCAGCTGCGGACATGCCTTCACTCATAGCATTTGTAGCCACCGGAGCATCTTGGAGTTTACTCATGCCAACTCCTCCTCCACTTAGAAGAGACGTGATGGCCTCATGGCCAGGGTTCTTGCTCATAGCGCCGGGTGGACCTTTTTGCGCTTCTTCTATCTTTCGTCGTTCGTCTTCGAGTGCCGCTGCCCCAGTGAGTGACACAGCAGGAAATACCGGAGAAAACGTGCCGCCGAATCGTGGTGCTTTTGCAGGCGAAACGACCAGCCCCGCGTTCGCGATTGATGTAAGATTTGTCGGAGGTTGCGTTTGATCTGGTCGATTTCGTTTCAATGACCTTGCCCTGGTGTTATCAGGTTCGGGGTGGCTTGATATTGTAGGAGGAGATTTGGTGGCGGGGTCTGATAACTTCGCGGTAAAGACTGGTACGGTCGCGGAAATTGTTTCTTGCTCCGAGGCCATGGACTCGATATATGATAACAAACCAAAGAATTGATGCTAAAATCCACTAATGTCCAAATTTGCGATCTCGAGAAAACTTGTGATAATGATCAGGCTCTCATGTCGAGACTTCACTGCTGGATTGTGAATTGGTGGTTGCAAGGCTGGTATTTCTGCTGAATCATAAGTCTTCTGCCGTGCATTAGAATCAATCGCATCATAATCTCAATTGATATGATGAACCTACGATTGAGCGATTCAGGTATATATCGAATTTGGGTATATTGAATGTATCGCAAACAAGGTTAAGCAAAGTGATTATCCAGGGCCACTACCTCGCTGAACATAATCAGACAGGTCGGATAACATTCAAATAAACAAAGGTAAATAAATGATTCTTAATTCCAAAGGCTGAGAAACGCAGAGATTTGTCGAATTGCGGAAAAACAGACTGTAGGTCAGTACGAGTAACGAGCCTTCTCCCATACAATGCAATAAATCCGATGGATGGACAAGAATAGATAAAAGTTGTAAGTACGAGCAGAAAATGAAGCTGAAGGTTGATTGCGCCTCAATGGAGACAGACTTCTAAGGTTAGCGCCACTCTTTTGCGATCAGGTCTCTTTCAAGGCTTAGCTTATTCTTGCCTTGACTTCTTTTTTTTCTTTCCTCTCTTGCTGATGCTGACTTCAAGTGGTAAGGAGAAAGCATATAGATTGATGAACTTATAGTTTTATTTTCATTTTAGTTTTATATTATATTATTTATATTATTTATCTATTCACTAATTTATTTTATTGATTTTTAAAATATATCAATAGTTAAAAGAGGAAGAACTTTGCGAATTGGGATTTACTCCCTCACATTTCATATGGAGAAGTGCCGTTGTTACATCCAGGTACTTCTACATCCATACAGCTCAGAGCCAATATCTAGATCTAGAGGTCCTGGGTACTAGACATATCACGGTTCTCTCAATTCTCACTACTCAATTAGGTTCATATTCCAAGGTTCTAATAAAACGTTCCCAAGGCGGATTTCTTCTGCTCCCTCTTGTGGCTATGAAATCTTGGTTCCTAATAGATTCTAGCGTCTACCTAGTATCCGGTCTGACGTGCAATGCATTCATATCTACCATATATTAATCAATAATTAGTTCGAATTCGTGGTTCTATCATTTTACTGAAGTAAGCAGACCGAAGTCGGTCGTTGGCTAATATGGGCAAAGCAAAGAAGCACCAACAGCCACTCTGGTGCTCTCAGGTACCTACCTAGTTTTAGCTGTTAGATCCGCTCACGCTTACCGTTTAATCTTTCCTTAGGTAAGGTTACCGTTTGTTTCCGCTAGTAGGTAAGTAAGTCTTACTTATCAACATTTCGTTCATCAGCTGCTCGGTGATCTTACAGCTAAGATTGTTTTCAATCTCGGGAGATACGGCGATCTGGTTTGGGGGCTCTTGATTTTTTTTTGCTCTATTATTCGTTCCTTTTTTGGCTACCTCAGCCACAAGAGTTCCGTTTCTTCATTTTTATCGTCTCTTATCAAGGTGCGGGCACTACCTAGGTCCTTGGACACACACTGATATGCACGTGCGGGCAAAGTGAACTCCAACTAGGTACTGAGTAGTACTCCCTTTCGTGACCGCACTACATCATTTGTGTTTTACTCTCATCATTCACAAATTCGTGTTTCCTTCCTTTTCGTGCCACAATATCCTTGTTCATCCCAGCTCCATCGATTTTTTTGAGAGGCAATTTCACACAAACAAGCCACTAGATGATAACCATTGGTCTTTCCTTGGCGTGGTCATGACAATTGAGCTTCAGCCACGGCTGACAATGTTAGCCAATTGAGCGACTTTTCTGTGGATTATTGCCTTAGGCTTAGACTTTACCTTGGGAGGGTATGACACAACGTCGCCTAAAAGAGATCCAGTAAGATGGCGAGTTGTCCAACGGCCGTTTGGATAAAGCCCGACTTGTTTGGTTCCACCTCTGGCCACCGTTAATCGAACGTAGGTATGCAAATGGATCATTCATGTCATCGATCGTTCCAGATCATCTATCTTCCTTTTTCTACGTCCACAGGTGCCAGCCACATGAATCATAGTAGAAAACCTGTTTCTGTTTTAGAAATGACATAGTTTTTCACCGTTCACTATATCCAGCATTACAAGAGCATAGTTTTCGTGGGGTTTCATGTCTATTCTAATTAATCTTTCTAAGCAAAGGAATCTTCCGAGATGATTGCCTTGCTTATACAGTGATATCGCATGACGTATGTCGCCGATGTTTTCCAAAGCTCTATCTTTGCGTAGTTGTTTGCATATGTCCGGGTCTTATGTTTCTAGTAGTTGTAATCTTTGATGGCTAGTTGGCACGGGGACATAAAAAGACACTCCAGGGAGAAAATTTCCTCGGGCCGAGGGTTCAGGTATTTGAATTGTTGTGGGCGAGAGCAAAATTCCTCCACGGTCTGGATCCCTAGGAGTATGTACTTCTTCCAAAGAGCGTCTCAATATCTGAACTGCTATCGACGATTGAAAGATGGCCTGAAGTGGAAGTGAGCAGCGTGGGAAAGCAGGAGGGAGTGCCAAAAAGTGAAAAAAAGAGAGATCATGGGGAGGAACATCAGACATCGGTACCTTAGCTTAAGTATGAGGAAAGGTTCAAAGAGATGATTTGAGAATGCGCTGAATATATTTTCCCGTTCAAGATGGTCGGAACGTTGTAATGCTAGCAGTGTCTCCAATGTTCTAGACCGCAGTCCGAATCTTTGAAAATACTTCAACTATTTTGATGGGGGTACTATTTCAAATTGATTGAATGTTTGAAATTCTTTTCGATGCCCAAAACGAATTAGTGACTTCAACACTCAAAATTATGTGAGTTTTTAAAAAGCCCTTCATTATTCGACCTCAGTCCGGACTATTGAAACACACTGGAGGAGGTAATGGTAGGTTGAAAAATCGAAATCAGACGAGAAATTTGCTTGAGCCCAATATCATGGAAGAACATATATTTTCAAAAGTCTAGATACGCAGGAGGGTGTTTGAGGCGCTTGCTCTTCAATGCCATCTCAGCAATGAAGAACGCGCTCTCGCTTAAGCTTGCGCATCGGAAAATACGAGCTAGTTTGGAAGCTCATTTGTTGCCTCACCAATGCTCTTTTCGATCTCGTTAGGGTAATCATCAACGGTCATTCCAAAAACCCCCTTTGGACTCTTCCCTAAGCCTCCGCCCCTTGATTGAGTCACCTCCTGTTCCACGAGCTCAGCATTTCCTTGTCCATCTTCATCAGCAAAATCAAAAATTCTATAGTCCGCATTCGCATAATGTCTGTAGCTGATGCAAGTCCTAAGGAATGCTGAATGAGAGACCACAGCGATGACTTTCTCTGGGCGTTGCTGTAACCACTTTCTAGCTGCGATTCCTCGCTCAGTCAAGGCCTTCTTTGAAAACTCATAGAGACCAGACTTCGCTGGAAAGAGTGGATCGACACCTGACCAGTCAAATTGTGGCCACTCCTTCTCCATAAGTTCAATGGGCGTTCCTGTATCACATGGCTTGTCTGAGTTTTCCTGCCATTCTGGTCGAAGTATAACGGGGACACCACGCTTCATCAACCATCCCAGGCCTTGCTGCGCTGTTTGCAAGGTTCGTCTCATCGGGCTCACCACAATGAGATCGATTTCTTGGGCAAGTGGATCATCATTCTCGAGAAATCTCGCCAACTCATCGCACTGTGTTCCGAAGCCAAGGTCGGTCAATGCCGGATCATGTAGCTCATAATTGCGTGCCCTGAAAGATCAGCTCAAATCACAAAGGATATTGCAGGGTGACTTATGAGACACATCTTGTGCAACGTTAGTCAAAACCCGTATTTATTGTAAGTGCATCTTATCAACTAACTATGAAGAGCTTGGGCATGCCTAATCAGAATAACTGTTGGAGACATCTCGTGAGAAATAAGGTGCGTTTGAATGTTGGTATATTTTGTTGGGAGGGGCGTGGTACACAAGGAACTAGAAGGCTATGCTTCAAATGAATAAATAGAGTATAACCAAGTTTGAAAGGGGCTTGAAGGTATTTCCAGGTTGGTTTTAGCTTTAAAATATGTATAAAAAATGGAAGAAACACCCAGATATCTTTGTTGTTGACTCACAAAAAGATAATGAACTTTCGAAGTCCCATCTATACTTTTGGAGCCATTTGAGGGATCTACATTATTAGTCATCCATGTCGGTCAATGTTTTATCCCGATGACTAGCGTGCAAGGATAACCGATAAGGATAAGCAGGAGACAATCCAATTGCAACAGTTAAAGATGAAGCGTGGTATTAAATTTGACTCCCTTGTCAACCTTACAACAACATTGTGGTTTTGTCTGTAATTATGAGTTTGTATCGCTCCGCTGCACTTTCTAGTAGAATCAAAAAGTCTACCCCTTCATTGAAGCGAGCTTCATCCTCCCCTTTCTCTTCTCTGCCTAAACGAAAACATATACAGCGATCGAAATCAAAAGCAGAGTCTGATGAGGAGGAGGAGGAGGACTTCTTAAATGATAAGCTTGATGATATAGGTTTGGTCGAAGCTCTTGCAACCGATCTCACTTTACGGGATGTTGCGCAAGCTATTCAGTATATAAGGGGAAGGATGTGGAACAGTATACCGGGGCAGAAAAGCGGGATGAATTCGACGAGAATCACAGAGGTTCTCAACTATCGAGATTCATTGCCACCCATTGTTACTGTCTCACATGTTCAAGCTTTGTTACACTCTCCAAGCGCGGTTGAACGAGAGGTCGTAGAATTAATACAGGAAGGGGCGATAAGAAAAGTGGTCGTTGATGGGAGAGGAGGTCTAGGGGAGGTTTTAATATTGGTGAAGGATTTAGAAAATATGATAGACAGGAGCAACTTAGAGGCTTCTTTAAAGGAAGAATTGAAAACGTTACTGCGAGAGAATCCCACGGCGTTGAAGTTCTCTAGGACTCTATTCACAGAGGAAGGTTCTCAGGCATACATGCATGCTGGCTTTCTTACCTCGTCAACGACCAATTACACAGCCACAGATCACTTCTCGAGACCTGGCGATGGTTCAAAAGGGACCCTGACTTCGCTGAACAGTATCTCAAGGGCAGCGTCCGGCTCTCTAGCCGCTGTCGGTGGCGAAGGAGCTGTTCATGCTTCTGGAGGTAGTGGAGGCGGTGCTCGATTAACCGGGAAGGGAGATTTTTCTCTTTCCCTTCCTGCGACGGGAAAATTTCTAAAGTTGTTGAGTAGTGCCCGCCTTCATCTCGTATCCTTGCTGTCGAAATCGAAGTATCGTGAAGCACCCGAATCTCTTCTGCGGGAGCGGTGGAATGGAGGGATTGAAACAGATGATGGTGTGAGTGCGGCAAAGAGGAATAGAGGAGAGTTTTCTGGCGTTCTTCCCGGCAAAATTAGAAAATGGAAGCAGTATTATGGGATCTCATTTGAATGGATATTGGCAGAGTGTGTCGGCGCGGGGTTGGTTGAAGTCTTTGATACCAGGAGCATCGGAAGAGGCGTCCGGACATTATAAATAGTTCATGGGAAAGGTTGGAGTTTACCTGGAGTATCGTGGATTGGTCCTCACCTTTCACGATTACCATTGTTTGTTTGATGTGTGAGATGAAATCCAGATTCCTCAAATACGGAGTATATAGGGAGAAACAATACTTTGGTCTAGACTAGCATAAGCTTGGTAAGCTCCATAGAATATATAAAAATCGATATCACATGCGGAGATCGCCAACCATGTGCAGGTGGAGTTTACTACTGCATGTTCAGCAGCGGAAAATTTCTCGTGAACAGTGCTCAGGAAAGACGATTTTGCCCCTGTTCAATTTGTTGTAAGCTCGCAATGTAGAGGCTATTTCGGGACGCAGAGGATATTAATGACATAAGAGAGTAACTGGGTAAGTGCCTTCTCACTGAGGTATTATTTATTGACTGTATTGTTTAAATTGACTCCAGCAGATCATTGTGTAAATATAAATTACTTCGGTAGTATAACCCTTTTGAGAGGTAAGGGTTCCTGAGTGACGGAATTACAGGATAGCCAGCCATTCATAGCTTTGAGAGAAAATGGACAAGATCGAAAAGTCCTTCTTTTACCTTGTAAGTTGCGGCAAGGATTTGGTGTGCTCATTTGTGACCCCTGAGGTTCTTTTAAATATTGCCCCTCATACGGTCCACAGACAATTCGTTCGAACCTATCATCAATTCAGCGCGTTCCGCAGATAGCTGGAGATATCAAGATGGTACACTGTACGGTCTGTACCTGAATTGGGTGATGTGATGTGATGTGATCGATAATGTTGGTAGGGTTGCAGTCCACTGGACGGTCTGGAAATTGTGTAATATCACACATTTTATCATCTTCCGTCCCGCTCCTCAATTTACTTGAATCCTCTCGTGAGTCCAGTCGTTCCGCTACAGCTCTTCACGGGAAGGATATCGATATACCAGAGTTAAACGTGCCGCGATTCAAATATTTGCTTTTCGGATAATGCACGTTTGATAGCTGTCAGCCATCAAGACACATATTGTCTTGTGTTGGATGTAAAATCCAATGAGCTTTTCCCGTGCCAGAGACATTGATAACGGATGAATCCTTCAAGAAAAGTGCCGGCATGTTCTGATGCATCTATCGTTGTACGAAGTAAGCATCTTTATTATGAGGAACTTTTTAATACAAATTGGAGGAGTTTTCCTGGGGTGAGCTGAAAGGCAAAGGCGATTAAAGTTTAAAACGGTATGATATTTGTGTAGGTAATTATCTCATTAATGAGGATAAGCTTCAAAAGCTAGCCAACCTTGTTCTATAACATTTATCAAGCTTCAGATGTCACCCAGTCACATTGTGATCATGTATCTATGAATATTCGCCACAAAAGACGGTTATATCGTTATATCGGTATATTTGGCGATTGTCCTCGAGTTAGTGTCTGTTCCCCGAGTAGCAGTACCATGCACAAACAAGAGGTCCACCAATCAAGGCCACTGCTGCGTCTCTCGTTCTCCTCCAGTCGTTCCTGCCCAAATTTGGACAATTTTGATAAGGATACAGGATTCTTAGGGCAGGTCCATTAGATTGCTAAAGTCCATGAAGGGTAGAGATTGCCCCACACTATCCCCAAAGTAATCATCGTTTCATACTCTCTTACCTTGCTTGTACACAGCTGCGTATTTATTACAGAGGATTGTAGGGAAGCCTTGGTCTTGACAATATCCACATTTCCACCCCTGAAAAAGATTCGCGGCGAAAAAGCCCCAAAAAAGAGAGACAAGACATGCTTAATAAGTAACTTTTCTATTCTCGAGTACAATTTATTCTACTACATACAGTACTCTCTATACGTGTACGGTACGTGCTGCTATCGGTAAGGTTACGGAGTATTGTATTACAATTCTTCTCCGTGCAGCATCATCGAATCCATTCATTCATTCATTCTATCACTCACCAAGTCTTTTCTCTTTTTTTCATTCTATTTTCCTTTGCAAAGATGCGAAGAAACATGTGAAGAACCGACAATCCCCATCCCCATCCCAACACCATACAAATTCTGTATGTTCTGCATTTTCGTTCTGTGCATATTGATGATACTCTACCCATAATACCACCCCATACCTACTCCGTACTTTTGAATGTGCGTCCTTTTTTTTCTCTTTCTATGACCCACCAATATCCCAAAACGAGTTGGGTAGGAAATTCCACCCACCATCTTCACAAATCATTTACCCTGCTCAACTCTAACGGTACATTTCGTCTTCCCCTTGCAACCTTGTAGCACAGCTATAACCCCAAAGAGTCGAGCCGAGAAGGATACCGGGGTGCTATAGACTGTAGTGTCTGGCTGGGTTGATTTGATTCGAAAAGGTGCAGGACATATCCGCACTTTACAGTAAGCTCTTTCTCTCCTCCATCCCTAGATTTCTTTCTATCTCATATCACCCCTCTGTTGTATATTCCAATAAAGATTCCGCGCTGCAGGTCTACCTTGTGTTAACTAAAACGCTATAGAAAAGTACTACTTGCTTTACTTTCCTTACTTTTTTTCCTTCCCACTCCTCACTGCTAGTACACGTCCGGTTTCGCGTCACCATTTGAAAGCTTCGAAGAATTTTCTCACCACACTATCCCTCACGACTGGGTAAAGAACCACGATATCACGATCCCTGCTTATGTTCCATATCAATCTCACTTGTCCTCCCATCTAACTCGCCAAGTGACGGCTTCCTGCCTTTGTGCCACCATCGCTACGAATTCCCTTCATTTATCACCGAATTCACCCTCGAGACTCGAAAGACCTAAATTGATTCACTGTTCACAAACAAAAAAAAAACATACGACTGGTATCAAAAAAGACAAACCAGAAAATCCTTTTCGAATACTCTCCAAACTTTCGTTTCAAATTCGTTCCAGTTGTCCATTGCGTTTGTATAGGAAGACAAGATATTGAGGTTTCTGCTTTCACAAATATCAACCCAATTGATATTAAGGACCTTGGTAATACTGGCTCATCTGGTTATTCGCACTGCGTCCGAAGGCACCGAAATTTCACAAAAACTCTCTCAGAAGTCAATGATTCGATCTTGTCTGATGAATGCATGAACACGATACCAGATTTAACTTGTCAATGTCTGTCGGTACTGGGATCATCGGATAATTACTCCTGCACATTGTCAACTGTGACACCTGGCATCGCTAGAAAAAGGAAACCTGCATATCTTGAGGAGGAATTTTCGAAGAATACATTCTCATATCTGAAAAATACACATGGTTTTCACATTGGAAGCTTAAACCGTAAGGTTATCCACCCCCGTATTTTCGACTCCGGAGCTTGGTCCTCGAGATCAATTTGCATGATTGTATCTGATCTATCATTTCCTGAGCTGATGTCAAGAAGGGTGCACTGACAAGTTGAAACAGGTCCAAACACCAGAAGCTTTGCTAACGCATATCAGACTGCATGCTACTGGGTGTCAGCTACTTCGGAAAGGACGAATAGAGATTTGGTCTAGATCTTGCAAACGCAGCGGAGGTTATTGAGTACCTCCACAGTTGGCCTTTGAAGCATCATCCCGAGTTGAATAATTTTCGCAATCGAGTTCCATGGAACCGTGAATACCAATCTGCAAAAACCCAAAAGTTCAATTTTCGAATCCAGGCGCCAATTACCAACCGAAAATTCAGCTTCAAAGTCGATAGCTATGGCAGCGACCTTGCCAAGGGGGTCTAGGCCTTCATATGGGCCGCCCACAACAGCATTACCAGCTCTGCCTATGCCGAAAACTCGAAAAAGCATGAGCACATCGCAATTGCCCACAGACGGACTGGAAGCACAAGATACACCTCGAAGCGGACTGCGAAACTCGTCGTCATCTAGCCTTCAATCATCTAGCAGTCAACCACTAAGGAGTCCTGTCCTTTCAAAATTTCCTACTTCGCCAGGAGTTAATGCGGCTGGTAAAAGCATAAGGAAAACGATCAGTATCAACGCATTTCCACAGCCTCCTCGAGGAGGGGTTAGAACCATAAGTTTACCGCCTAGTCCATTGTCCGGGGGAGTTGCGCCAGGGATCGCGATGTCAACAGGAGAGCCAAGTAGGAGGGAATCAACGGAAATAAGCGCATCCAACACTGGTGGCGGGAGACTTCGGAAAAGACCCATGGCGATGGCAAATCCCAATACACATAACTCATTCAGTGGATCGAGCCAAAACCTACTCAACGGGAATGAAAGCAGCATTTCAATATCTAGCGGTGCCGGGACTCGAGGTTCAGATGGTCTATTAAGCTTACCGTCACCCCCGCAAAGTCGCAGCTCATCTGCCCAGGATTCATACTCGACGTCTGTAACAACCACTGAAGAATTTGGAGATGGGCTCAGAGGTCGAGAGGGGCTTGATGATGCCGATAGACAGTCTCCAAAACTTGGAGAAGGCAAAGGAAATGTCATCGTCAGCGTTCGTGTACGCCCAGATGCCAATAGTGATGGAGACAATAGCAAGTCTTCCGGAGAATGGTTGATAGATGGAAGAAAGTCGCTTGTTGCCTACCGCGGGAAGGAAGGTGGCGATTATTACTATGGTAAGGCTATGTCTGATAATTTTTCAAGTTAACACTAACACAGTAACAGATAATGTTTTTTCGCAGAATGATAATAACGCTAGAGTATACGATGCATCGGCTAAAAGGCTCGTACGGCGAGTCATGGAAGGATATCACGGTACTGTTTTTGCATATGGTATGACAGGTACCGGAAAGACATTCTCCATGCAAGGGACGGATAAGATGCCTGGTGTTATACCACTTGCTATCACCGACATTTTCTCATATATTCGTGAAACTCCATCGCGAGAGTTTCTTCTCAGGGTTAGCTATCTGGAAATATATAACGAGAAGATTCACGACCTGTTGAGTGCTTCGACAGGGCCTGCAACAGGCCCAGGAGCTGCTCAGACCGAAGAAATTAAGCTCCGAGAGGATAGCAAGAGGGGTGTGTATGCCACACCTCTAAAAGAAGAGATAGTGCAATCTCCAACACAATTACTCCGTGTCATCTTTCGGGGCGACCAAGCACGAAGGACTTCCAGTACACAGTTCAATGCTAGAAGTTCTCGAAGTCATGCAGTCGTGCAGATCGTGGTTGAATCTCGCGAGCGTATTCCGGGAGGAACAGCAATGAACGAAAACAAGCGGAGCGGCCTTGTTCCCGGTGGCGTGCGTGTCTCTACACTCAGTTTGATTGATTTGGCAGGGTCGGAGAGAGCTGCCGAAACGAAGGAACGACGTACTGAAGGTTCCCACATCAATAAAAGTTTGTTGACCCTTGGAACCGTCATTGCTCGATTGTCGGGCAACAAAGATAAGGACGGCAAACCTATGGACAAGGACGGAAAACATTTGCCATATCGCGACAGCAAGCTTACAAGACTTCTTCAAGGCGCACTATCCGGTGATTCGCTTGTCAGCATTCTATGTACAATATCTGTTGGATCCGGAGCAAGTGCCTCCGGGCCTAATAGCCACACCAGTGAGACCTTGAACACCTTGAAATTTGCTTCCAGAGCTGCAGCCAATATCGTCAGTCATGCTAAAAAGGCGGAGGAAGCAATGGGTGCAGGTGGTGATGGTGGTGCCAGAGTTCTACTAGAACGATACCGCATGGAGATCTTGGACTTACGGAGGCAATTAGATAACCAAGTCAAAGCTAAAGCATATGAGGAGGACAAAATTCAAAAGGAGGAAGCAAAGGCACGTCATGAAGAGCAATTGCTAGAGATGCAATTGGCTCGAACTGCCTTGAAAGAAAGAATCGATCATTTAAATAGACTGATCCTTAGTTCCAAGTCCACTGGTGTGAACGCACATGGTACATATTCGTCTTTAAGCATGCGATCTAGATTTTCGATGGGTATGTCAAATGGCCACATGTCCTCAATGTCTGTGCGCTCATCCATGACTCCATCCACCATCACTCTAGAGCGTGCCAACTCGGTATCTACCATCGGTCGACGACGAAGTGCGAAACGATTATCAGGAACTACTTCAGGTGACCATACATCAATGGAAGATGAAGATTCTGCGGGTGAATATGGTGATGGTACAGCTTCGCTAGCAGCGCAGAATCGAGCTTTACAAGCCGATCTCGCAGATAAGACCAGGTACTGCCAGACTCTAGAGAAGCGACTCCTACAAGCACGCCGCTCTAGTCAGTCAAGGGCGTCTGCACAATTCGGCAGCAAGTCAAGTATTATGGTTGGTGAGGACCATGGGGTTTCCAATCTTTTGAAAGATAAGGATGCCGAAATTGCGGATTTGAGGGCAAGACTTGATGATAAAGACCGCATGTTATCGGCACTTCGTAGCTCCGCTCGGTCAAGAGATACTGCCGACCGTGATTCTCGTCATGGAGTCAATCATGGGGTGAATCATGGCTTGCCGTTAAGTCCCGTCTCGGCGAGAGAATCCCAATTGTTTGATCCTAGCCTCACATATTTAGGAGGCCCAGTGAAGGTTCTTCCACCCACAGTCCTTCCCCCAACACCTCTCAAAAATTCAAAGAGTGTAGATGAGATGAGCAAAATGCTAGATGAAATGATTCAAGATAGAGTTGAAAGTGATCAATTGGTCAAAGGGGTTAGGGGAAGTGTTCGACACACGGGCGACCGCAAACGAGCGGTTTCAACAGATAGGATTTCTGGGATTGAGCCTCTTAAGAATCCACATCTGAGTCCTATGGCTCAGCCACACGATTCTGGGGTTGTAGTAACAGATTATTTTAAAAAGAATGGAGGTGAGATTTGTGATTAATACGGTTATAGTTCACGGCGTTTTTGGAAGGTTGTTAATTGTCTATACCCACGTTACTTTTGTTTTCATTTTATTTCCCGGGCTTTTTGCTTATCACTGCAAACATTTTCTTCTCTTTTACGCGGCAATTAGTGATGGGATACTTGAGCGGGCGGTCATTTTTCGGGAACATTTTCGATGGGTGGTTGGTGGGACGGACAGCGGCATTTATCTGTCTAAATGTAATAATATGATCGGGGAAGGGTACATTTGGAGGGCCTCACAGGATTGGCGGACTCAGGAAAACCATACTTCTGGATCGCTTCGGGAGACGTTCTTTTTCTACTTGGTTCATTTACTTTTGTGCTGGACGTGGATGCGCATTTGGGAAAATAGTCAAATCTTGATAATGGGTTTGTGGTTTGATACCCAGGATGATTAGGAAGGATACAAAACAGATGTCCGATAGAATATACCGATACAGCGATGATGGGAATTGTTTAGTAGAGTCATTTGGGATGAGTTGCATGAGTAGAGTGGTTGAGTTGAGTTGAGTTCAGTTGAGGACGTGGTTTACTAGAACAGATAGAGATTAAGTTGGGGTTAAATGAATCGTGATGTAATGAATGAATTGATGGGAGTCAAAAAATACAATTTATCAGAATTCAAATGAGCGTTTGTAGATGATGGATGTGATGTGAATTATCATTGTGGTATTGGTGGTATGTATATGAAAGTTGATATAACTTATGTAAATGTGGTAAGTAGCTATTTGTTGTTTTCTCATTGCGAAAAAGGCAAATGCAAATGCAAAGGATGGTACCCCATCGGGATGTAACGTTTATGATATGGTATGGTACGATAAATTCAAATATGACAGGTGAGGCGGGAAGGAATTTGTTTTTTCTACCTTTTTTTCTGGAAACTTGCCTCTCTGGGCGTTTGAGAAATGGGATATGGAATATGGAATATGGGATATGATGGATGGATGCATAGATCAGCCCCGGAGGAGAAGCAGGATGAGAAAATTTATGCAGAGGGGGAGGGAGAGCTGGGGTGTTCATATATTGTTTTATGGTGTGGTATGTTGTTTGTTTGGAAGAGGGAAGGAGGGAGGAGGTAGGGAGGAAGGAAGAAAGAATATATGTGTAGCATAATACATTAGTAAAACCGGGGTGGAAGAAGGAAGGGCTTGCTTGGGTGGGTCCTCGTCTGAATATAAAATGTCTTTTTTGTGTAAATGTCGTGTTTGGGGTTATCTGTGGCTAATGGGTGGGTGAGATCAGGCAGAGGGGATGTTGGAGGATGGTGAGGTATGTATGTGAGGCTGCGAGTATTGTGTGTATTTGCGTTACTTGAGGTGCAGAACGAAGTTGATGTGAATTGGCTGGTTGGCCTGTTGAGAGATTGGAGATTGGATATTGATATGATCGCTAGATCTATCGTTCATACAATTTGAACATTGAACTAACTAAGTCTCTTGAAGTTTTGAACTTCAAGTCAATCTAAAATATTACATTCTTTTCATAGTCCACTCTAAATTGCATGTCCGCTGAATAAGAAGCCTCCTGTATCAAGCAATGAAGGGCGAAAAAGAAAATGTGTTATTTGCCCTTCAAGCTCCTTTCTCCGGAGCGATCTTGGCACAGCACTCACTGTGATGATCTTCTCCCATAATACGCCAGAGCGTAGCAAAGAACGTTTTCCAAGAAAGGGAAACCCGATTCGTATATCCGTTGTGTTCATTTCGTTAAGTGTAGGTTGATCATCCACGAATCTATTTTTAAGATGTTCCATTTCTAGCATATTTGGTAAGATTCCCCAAGAAAGGAAATCGGATGATGGAGGAATGTTAAGCACAATCCTATAACCAAAGGATATTGATGATCCTCCCTGTGACGGACGTCCCTTTCATTCAGGCTACCAGCGGACATGCCGCAAAAGAAGCCTGAGAAGTGGAGGGAAGATTGTGATTGGGGTCGAGTCGGCGAGTACTTGGGCTGAATAAGATTCGTAAGACGACGGGAACTCCGCCACTAGTTACAGTACATCTGGGTATGGCAAATGGCCTCTTCAGATGGAGAAATGGTTACCTACCTAGGTACTTAGCTAGGCTTTACGCATATATACCCATGCATGAGATATGGATGCACCGAAATCTTGACCAGACCATACGGTAAGAAAGGTAAGGTAAGACTTAAAATTCTTGGGTGTGGCCATGAGGTAGACGATGTGCATTGTGCAGTAGCTAATTACTTGCAGATGGTGGCGTTTTTTCTGTGTTTGTGATGGTTGTTGAAAACTTGCATGCGGAACTTAACTCGAAACTTGGTCACTGGAGATCTTATCGTCCAAGCCGGCGGGATGAATTATTACCTGTAGAGGGGAAATGTTTCAAACCCGTTTCTCCACGGTAGAAAAGCAAAAGCTTTACAGAATCTTATTAGCTTATTAGTTTAGTTCACGGACATATATCCCCCATCCCATTCTTGATAAGATTACTCGGGATAGGGAAAGAATCTTCGACAAATCACCTGCGAGGCTGCCAATGGGGGTTTGTAGATAGCCCCTCGTTTGAATTTACTTTTCGTTTGGCGTCGGTTTGGGATAATTGATGATTTCGGTGTTCTGATGTCTCATTGGCTGGTTTAATAGTCGGACATTTATTTTTATTAGCACGTTTCAGATATTCAGGGGTAAACGCAATGAATGTATTTCATCGGGTTCGCGCCTAAAAGGAGAAAGAGGAAAAGAGTAACATAGAATAATCAATACATTTAGGCGAATAAGAGCTTCTTCATCATGTATGGATATGATGATGGATGGATGATCTGAGGAAGAGAGAGGGAATGAAAAAGGGCGAAAAGTTAAGACATATGATATTTAGATTATGCGTATATCCGAGGGAGTCACAAATCGGTAGGTACCCTCTTATGGTTTGTTGGTGAGGTACGAAAGTTTCGTTTTAAGGTTGGGGATTTACCAATGCTGATGGTTACAAGATCCTGCAGTTATACGCCTACCGGATTACATGAGGCGGTAGCTCCTTGACTCTTTCAATTTGTTGAACCGCAGAGCAGAGTACATACATAGCTAAACAGCTGGTTGTTTTCAGGGTTAAGCTAGTTGGTGTGAATTTATACTCTCTCAGAATTCTTGTCGTAAGGAGATCATCCAAAGCCTTGCCTTAAGTTGTTGATGTTAAGATCATTCAAAGCCTTGCATATGTTCTTGGTGTAAGGGAATCGATCGTCTAATGCCGTTAAATACCTATTAATACCTATTAATACCTAGGTATTTGAGGTCACATTACTAATGTAATTCCCAAAGAGGAAAAGAAAGACAGTAGAAACTTAGAAATTCCTTCCTTTACCTCGTCTCTTCTTTTTAACTTCATTCTGTTCCCGGTCATCGGTCACCGGTCATCTGTAACATGGATTGCTTAAGCAGGTTGAGTCCCTTATTTATTACAATTGCTCCATGTTTCCATTTTCATTCCTGGTACATGCAGTGGCACTGGTGAGATTTAGCCCCTGGTTCTTCGGTCAGCCCCACGCGAGAGTCG